GATATGATTTCACTTAAGGCAGTCACAAGATTTTTAAGTATAAGATAAAGAACAAATATAAATATTACAATCCCCTTCATGACATTCTCTATAATGTTGTGAAGATCTTTCAAAACATCAAACAGCATAATGATGTAGGACTTGTTTTCAGTATTCTTTTCAATTTTCGTTTGAATGTCGCCATCATTTGTTCCCTCTGAGCTGGATCCATCGCAGGAGCAAATCAGTTGCCGCAGCTTCTGGTAACAAGACTCTAAACAACGATCCTGTTCTTTGCCTTCATCGCTCTCAGCTTTGGGGCAATGGAAGTGCTTCAGATCTTGAGATTCCTTGACGTCGACCGCTTGTAGTGATTCCTCCTGACCAAGAGAATGCTCGTCACAAATTGGTTAGAGATATGGCCACCACTTACATCTATACTTAAGCCGAAATTCAGGAATAACAACACCAAAACACACACGCTTGGATTCATAGTTAAATTTCTTGAATTTTAGCGATGCTCCTCCTCTGACGTTGGCCAGCCGACTGAAGTCTGATTCGCACACTTCCCGATTGTTTGAGACTGAACTTAAATCGGGAATTCACACTATATCTTTTTGTATTTATGCCTTAATCTTATCGATTGCATTTTAGTGATAAGTTAATAGAAATTGAAAATCTACATTAACCAAAGCAACGTCTTATCTTCATTGATTAGATTCTAAAACATTTGCAAAATGTGACCAAAAGTAGACAAGGTATTATTTTAAATTCGTAAATGCGGTACTTTAAAGTTAAATTTACATGTGAATGGGAAATGCGTAAATGTTTTTTTAAGCTGCAGTATAATTTCTCTCCGTGTACTTGCAGTATGTGTAGCCTCAGAGTGGGTTCCGAGGGAGTATTTCTATGGGTGTTCTAGGGATATAAATTGGTCAAACCGCAACGCACACCCAAACACACACCGAAACACAAATCAGCCGTTCGCCGCAGGCTGTGCGGCTGCAAAGAAAGCGAAGAAGACAACAGCGGGCTGAAAAGCGGAAAAGCGTGGAAAGCGGAGAAAACTTTTACGAGGGCCGCAATGAGCGGCGAAAAGTTTCCTTTACGACAATTATGGTAAGGGCAGCGAGGGGATGATGAGGGAACCCGCGACGACCAACGACGACAAAGTTCAATTACGGTCAACACAAATTGTTTTGCAATTTGAAAACACATTTTCATAGTTTTTCACCCTGCAGCACCAGGGTAATGAGGGACTGCTGCACTCACCCCCACTTCCGCTCCTGCTCCTCCTCCTGGAGGCCGCAAAGTATGCAATGAAAGAGCACGCACAAAGATTGTAATCGTGATTTGCGCATATTGCGTAAAATTGAATTTTCAAGTAACCGAAAAGTTGCCTTCAGTAAGTAAGGGCGGATGGGCAAGTGGGCGTGGCGGCAGGCCAGGAGATTTCTCAATTCGAGTTCTTGGAATACAAGAGTGTGCGTATGTGTGTGTGTGATGGGATGGCAGCGTGATTTTGAGGGTTAAGAAGTTCAGGTCACCTTTACTTTTTATTAAAAAAAATATTATTAATATATTAATAATATTAATATATTTTTCTTTCCCTTTCTTGGCCTGCAATGTACAAGCAAAGCAGGACTCTGAGAGAGTTTTGCCCTTTATTACAACTGAGCGGAATTAAAAGGAAAACGACCGCTCTTTTAGTTTTTTTTCGGTTATTCTAGTGATCGGAGCCACATCTAGTATGTGATCTCTATCATCTACTCTCTTCCTCTCCCTGCAATGTACCAGCAAAGCAACAACAGCTCCACTCAGTAGCCAACGAGAGAGTAGTACTCTGAGGGAGCTTCGACTTGTTTCTCTTTGAATAAAACTGACTCAGTTGAACTGAGTCAACTCACAAAAGAAACATAAAAGGCGTAAGGAACTAACCAAAAGAATATACTATTAAAGTCTAACTGCCTCTATAAGGCCTTAATTTATATTCCTTAACTTTCCCGAGATCAGAACTCTCCGTATCATATTTACATATATCCTCATGTTTCCCGCCTGACCACAAATCACGCTTTCATCTCCTTCAGAGTCATCGGCAAACCGGCAATGACAGTTGCACTTGGTCAACCACTCAGGCCTGATGTGTGTCTGTGTGTGTGTCTGTGCGTGTTTACATGTTGGGCCAACATCCTTTGAATCCCCGAGTCCTGCATCCGCTTACCAACTATTTGCTCTGGCTTAATTGTGGTCAGCCTGCCGAGGAGCAGGGGGTAGGAGGAGGAACTACAGCTCCAAGGAGCAACCAGGTCCAGGCAAATGACAGGCGAACAGGCGAGCTTACATCACTAAGTCCTGGCGTGCTGTAAAGCAATCCTTTAGCAGGGAGCTGAAAATGCAACCTTTGTTCTGTCATTATTATTATTATTTTCCTTTTTGGGCGAAACACGATTTTAATTTCATTCGAAATTCATGGGCTGCAGTTTCTGAGAGCAAAGAAGAAGAAGGAGCAGAAGGAGCTGCTCCTTGGTGTTGCAATTGAATTCGCGTCGAGACGCCAAGCTGGCAAATAGCTTTATTCCGGTCTGGCGGAAAATTCAATTTGCCGCGGAGCTCCTTTAATATGCGGCGCGTCTTAGGCCATTGTCTTCCCCGACTCCCCTCCAACTGGTAAAGATCCCCCCCCAAAACGGCTTTCGAGCTGCGTTTCTGGTCTGGTCCTGTTTCCTGGCCAACTCCCTGTACCCCCCTGCCAAGGCCGTTTTAATTTAATATTCATAAGCAGCAGTTAATGAAAAGCATTTGAAGACATGGCGGAGGGCAAGGGAAGGGGGACACACAGGACATGTGTGGCAGGGCAGAACAGGACATGGCATGGCAGGAGGAGGAGGAGGAGACGGGGACCAGTAATATCATGCGATATTGCGTTGCTATAATAAAATGTCAAATATGTTTGACGCAATTTAACCGCAACACAATCTCGCCAGGGCTCTCCTGTGCCACTCGACGTCGCTTAAGGACCCTCAAGGCAGCCAGGTGGGATGTACCGGGGAATGGGGATTGCGACAACGTCGATGGCCGACACGACATGGCAGGTAAAATGGCAAATGGCTTCAGTTACCCATTGCAGATGCCCCGACAACCAGACGAGGGTGCGGAATATGGCAGATCGAGGGGACAAACGGGTTTAAAATGCTTTCAAAACATTTTTTACCTTTAAGAAAAAATCCAAAAAAGTCTAGATTTAACCAAAAACCCTTGCCAAAGCTGATTTTAATAGTTTAAAAAATTTAAATAAATTTAAAATTAGTACCCAGAGGTACTTAAAGGTCGATAAACCCTCAGCAAAAACTTAAATGCTATTGCTTTCGCGCGATGCTGCTGTTATTTTTATTAGCATAAAATGTGTACGTGAGAGAGGCCAATCTTAAAGAGCCGACACTAACCCAATCAGGGACCCCAAGAGCCAGGTGAATGGGGGTGCCACAAAAAGGGGGCCAAAGTCAATGTATTGATTTTTTTTTCCGTCGACAGGAAGAGCATTTTTCACCTGCCAATCGAAGACAAAGGCGAGATGCACAGGCCATTTGAGTTGTGGCCGCAATGAGACATATATATATATCCAGCAAGGATATCAGGCAAGGATGCAGGCTGGGAGGAAAAACAGGTGAAAAAGAGCTCGAAGAAGACCTTGTCCCTGCGGCCAGCAAAACAGTCAATAAAAGTCCACTTACATTTCCTGCCGACATCTCAATTATTTTCCTTTCTCTCAGACACACACACACGGGGAGGAGCAGAATACACCTTTCAAAGATGTCCTTCGTACACTTCTGGCTTTGACATCCTCGAAATATTCGCTGTGCAATGATAATTCCAATTAAATTTTCAGGGAAAACGGTAGGCATTCATAAATATTTCAATATAGAGTACATATTCCTGGGAGAATTGATAATTTTGAGGTGGCAAAGGGTAAGCCAATTTAATTGATTAATTAACGAGAGAAAGTGAGAGGGTTAGGGGGAAAATCTAAGGGAAAATCAATGGAAAATCAGCAGCAATCACAGGCGTGTTTAATGCTCAATAATTGCATGAATTTGTGATGAGACTTTAAGAACCGCAGGGAGTATTTATTCTTGATAGCTTAATCCTGCTCCTAGGAGAAAATCAAACACGGCCAGGAAATGGCTTAATGAATGGCCTTCGAAATGGAAAACTGGGCGAAGCAGAGGCACCCAGCAATTGGAAAACGGAGAACGACTCCCCCGAGGAGCTCCAATTAAGCAAAAGGGAAACGGACAACGGCCAAATCGCTTAGCTCCTCCTGAGAAGTTGTGTTCGAAAACACTCGAAATGAACAAACCCATTTCGGAGCAACTTAAGATGATTACCGGGGCCCCAGGTCCGTCTCCGTGTCCGTCTCCTCGAGACTTGAGAAGGGCGGACAGCCGGCAATACAATGCCAAACAATTCATTTTGGCAAAAGCGCGGATTTCTTTCGCTTCGCCTCGCTGGGGGATAAAGCAGAACCGGAGAATTAGGGAAGCAGGATAAAGGAGCCGGGTGGGGAGGGGGGAGCAAAACCTGAAGCTGGGAATCCCGTCAAGCTGGCATAATCTGCTCTTCTCGCCGCATTCTCTCCGCTTGCTTATTTGCATAAAATAATTGAAAGGCGAAATTTAAAAGAATCAACAAAGGCGAAAAGCAGGGAAAACACAGAGCGCGAAAACAGGGAAACGCACTCGAGAAAATCCCCAGAAAAAACAGAGAGCGCGGAGTCGCAGGACTCGCACAAAGGATAACGGTCAAGTGAGCGGCTGCACTACACCTCCGACGAGTGCACTAATTACGACGGATGCAAGGCCTGCCGGGTTTACAGTAAGAGAAATTAGGGGTAGGTTATGCCATTAACTTTGAACTTTGAACTTTGAATTTTGACATATGTTATATATTGGTGACAAACAATGTTTAGGTGTATTAATCAGAATTCTATAACAAATATAAATAATTAACTAATTGCTTTTGCATCAGGCACTTGGCTGAATGAAGTGTAGTACGTGGTTGAGAGCTCGGTTGAAGCAGGGTGAAGGTGACAGTCTCTTATCAACGGATTCTCGGAATCCCGCGATGGCTTCCGAAGAAGCATCCGATCTAAGTTGGGAATGATAAGAACTATTTATAACGATGACCGCACTCTCTGCGTGCACGTTTATATATATATACATATATATATATATATAAACAACCGATTTTCAAGTATGATATATTTTTATTTAATTAGGTTCTTTAGACTAATTTTTGAAAACAATATCAATCAAGTGGCCGAATTTATTGGACACATAAAATGTGCCCTTTTTGCTGCATTTCCATTAGTTTTTCTAGCATCTCAGGTGTTATAGCGATGATTTCTGCACGAATATTAGCCATGATCTCGTCATGATCTTGAATGCTTATAAAATAAATCTTTCTGAAAAGTAAGGAAGACCCCTTTTTTAATAAATGAATTGTAAGGAGTTATTATTTTAAAATATAACTTTATTTAAAACGATAAATACGAATTTGGCTAAGTTTCATTGTCCGCCTGGCAAATATAAAATAATAAATAATTGCAAAAGAAGTCCCACATTCTGCCATCTTCCAAAAAGACGCAGTTCTCCTCATGATTTTTGTCGGTTGGTTGTCCCATACCCCACTTTAAAAATGGTAGTGGTTTGTGTGAGGCCACAGATACGAAGTGGCCCTCAATTTCTCGATCATTAATGCCTAGCCAATAGGACCAATTAGCAAGGTTTGATATAATGGCATTGATTTCATCTTCATTTCGAAAGGAGGCTAAGTAACCTCCCATCTCACGACACTTTCTCTCAGCAGTCTCCCGATTCGTATATTCATATACAATTCGAAAATATCTGTTACCGAATAGATTGAAACCAGATGGAATTGTAATCGTGGATGAAGCCGGGACTCCCGCCTTCGCTGCTTGTTGGGGCACTGCCGTCTTATTCGATTTTGCCTGTAATTGACTTTTCACCTCGGCAGCATCTGTCTTGTTCTGAACTAACTGCAGTTGATTTACAACCGTCTGAAGTTGGTTTTCAATCTTATTTTGTACCGCAATCAGACTGTCTTCTAGTTTAGCCTCCAGTTTCGTTTGCATCTCCTGAAGTTGTCTTCCCAGCTTTGCTACGACTCCTTGTAGTTGTCCTGCCAGTTTGGTTTGTACCGCAATCTGCTCTTCCAGCTTATTTTCCACTCCTTGTAGTTGACCTTCCAGCTTGGCATGCACCTCCTGAGGCAGCTTGGCCTGCACTTGACCTATTTTCACCTCCAATCTCTCCAGCTTCGATTTGATTTCGTTGTCAGCATTACGAGTGATCGTGTTTCCCTGGTTCTGGGCCTTGGCGACTTCGTTAAGCCGTGGGCTAAGTTCAGTAAGACAGATGCTGTCGCACTGATTTTGTTTTGACTCCTCAAATATACCCCGACTGATCCTCCGCGAAGGATCCTTGCAGGACACAGGCGGCCAGCGCCCAAAGGAAGAAGATAGCAAAGTTCTGCATCCTTTTACTAGGGGATTAAAAGACCGCGTAAGTTAAAAGTCTTTGGTAAACTGATTCCCGAAATATTTAAAGACTTTCGAAGAGGCATCCGGCTTCGGCTGGGATCGATAAGAGCTTTAAATATATATACACAAATATATAGAGAAGACGGCACTCCCTGTGCTCGTGGAGGTATACGCAAAATATGCATGGACTTATGTAGGATGAGCAATATACAAAATGATACACAACAAATCAACGGATTCCCGAAATCAGGCCATGGCTTCCGAAGAAGCATTCGAATGCTAAGTTTTGGATTGATAAGAACTATGTATAAAGATGACGGCACATTTTCAAATTAATGCATTATTTTTTTATTTTATTTATTATCTTTATTTAACAAACATATAAACGATCTGTATAGGAAAGTGCTAAACTGTAAATATAAAATGTTCAATTTATTTTTTAGCTTTTTTGATTGCTTTTTGCATTTGGCCGAAATAATAGGGTATACAAAGGACGGCTACCTAGGTTGTGTTTATTGTTTTCTTTAATTGTTGTTTAATTTCTTAAAAAAAAATTAATATTTTATAGAAAAAATGTATGTTAAGAAAGTTGTTTACTTAAATTAGGAAAGCTTTTAAAATTATTAAAAAAATGGTTTTATTCTCCCAAAGGTATAACCCACCCTAGAACTTAACCCACAATTGTCCTGAATCCTAATAGGGGGATCTTTGGCTCCATTTTGTTTTTCTGTTTTGTTTAATTGGCTTCGCGTCGCGAGAACTTTGTTTGGTCTCGACGGGAATCACGATTGTTGCCTCCTGCCGATTGACTAATTGGCCAGAAGGAGGAGGAGCAACAGCAGAGACAGAGCCACAGGAAGTCGGAACGAGGAGGAGGAGGAGGAGGAGCCTGCCTGCCTTAAGTGTCGAGGCAAATCATTCACTTATTCAATTTGCCAACGATGCGAATTCGATTCGATTAAATTGCGACTGTGATGCCGCCGTGCAATTAGTTGGCCAGGACAGCAGCACCCAGCACTCCACTCAAAGGATGCTAATGCAATCTTTGACGTCCAATTGAATGGAATTAAATCGAGCATACTGGGTGTAATAATAATAGCCCGTCTCTACACGTGTCCCTCGTCCAACGCTCGTTATGTGTCCATCGATGCTCATAATTGAGTTAACTCTGTGTGACTGCTGCAATCACTGCATCATCCTCCCTGCAGCTCCGCCTTCTCCTGGTGTCGCTTAATTGACAGCGACGTATTTAAATGGAAATGCCCCGATGATGGACAACGGATGGAGACGTCGTCGGGATGTACAAAATGTGATTTTATTGCCACACAGCTGCTCCGCCGGGCAATGTTTGGAACAGAGATGCTCTTGGTTTTCACTGATACTTGGCTTTAATTTATTATCGAGATGAAAGTTTAAGTTATTTTTAAAATGTAACGTACATAGTTGAATAAGATTTAAATTCCCCTTTGAATAGTTATATTTCACTGCCAAATCCATACCAATATCACCTATCGAACCCCAGTTGCAACATCACTGACGACTGCTGTCTCCGCCTCACAATTGTCGTTTCATCGACTTAATTGAATCTGCCTTCCAAGCGTGGGATATCAGGGACAAGGAGGACAGGGTGGGGATCGGCTACAGGTACATAAGTAAATCCTGGTGTCAGGTGTGGCGGAGTATTGCTGGCTCAGCGTCAGGCGGCGGGAAGCCTTTGTAATTTAAATTCCCTGTCGGGATTGCTGATGCGGCTCCTTCGCCGAAATAAACGTCAGGTAAACGACATAACGCATACTTTTTTAATTATGCAAAGAGCCGGAGGGGAAGTCGTCTCCAGTCTCCGGGAAAGCCAAGAACCGGGAGCTGATTGATTGACGACAAGCGCCACTCCGAACGAAACAATTGATGACGAGGCGAGGCGGCGGGAGAGAAACTGATGCCCCCATCGGAAGCGCAAATCTGGGCAAGCCCGCTAATGGCTTCCAATCCTCCTCCTCGGATGCTGAGCTGAGCCCTACCCTGGCACAACTATCGATGTCGTGGACTTTTCAGCGAACGACAAACAGCAGCCATTACGGCGCTCACTGGAGGGGGAGGGCGCTCCTCCTTATCCTGCTTCCGTTTCTTCTGAATCTTTAAGCTCTGCAGAAAACCATGACCAGGACACTCTCTCTCTCTCTCTACGTTAATGGTTCTGGAGGAGATTTAACAAAGGAAGCAACTTTAAGGGACAAGCGGAAGTCCATTTAAAGTCTGGATTTTGTGTAAAAGCTTTGGGAAACGAATCAATATTTCACAGAGTTTATTTCGCAGGGAATTCCTTCTCAGGAGACTCATTCTTAAACTCCAACTGGACTATATATTTTTTGGACATCTTCGATCTTGACGTGTTCAGTGAGTTATCATTTTTATTTTGGTTTTCTGCAAGTCTAAAAGTTTAAACATTAGTTTTCATTAAATGTACTCTTTCCTCTTCCGGTGAATGCAATCGAATGGGATTCGATTTGCCGCGAGCTAGGCTCCTCTTGCCTCCACATTCTGGCATTCACTGCCTCTTCCCTGTGGCCCCTTCTCGGTTATTGGCTCTTCCGGCAAACTGGCTGACAAGTTTCGAATTTCTTGGCGCTTCAATAATAATAACGCAGCACTCGCGCAGCTCTCGAAGGGTTTGGGCGATGGTCCAGTCCTCGAGGTTCTCAGGACTGCCGCAGCTAGACGCGAAAGAAGCTGCCTTTGGCTTCCTAAGTCCGCACACATCGCTGCACATTTATTTCCGGCAAATTAGGCTCAGCACGGTCCGGGAATCCCACGCCTACGCAGAACCTGGAGCTGGAGCTGGCATCTTTTGGCAAGCCGCTTTGCGATTCAAACGTTGACGTTGCTCATACGCCCCGACGACCCGGACGACCTCAAGCCCCGGGAGCTCTGGAACCCCAAAAACCCCAACCGTTGTCAATGCGAAAACATGAAAATGATAACAGACAATTTATTGAAGCGCACACACACATACACTAAGAGAGAGAGAAAGGACATGCACAGGACATACCGCCGGTCGCTCAAAAGTAGGCAATGCGAATGGCCATGATTATTATGATTTGTCGATTCCCAGCCTACTTCTCATTCTCCTCCTGCTCTTGCTCCTCTTTCGTCCTTACATCAGTTTGAGGTTTGTTTTATTTATGGTTGTCCATCGTCCTGTGCACGGTCAGAAATCAACTGTCTCCAGCGAAACATGTCCTAGGAGCCCTTGACCCTCCTCAGATGTGAAGTAACGAACTCCGAAAAGGACAACTTACTGGATTTTGGGCTTTATTTAGATTTTCAAAGGCTTCTATGGTTACCTGAGACTCTTGAAGAGGCAGAAATCATTTGAAAACACTTGTGGAATATCAAATAATTTAATTATATTCACCAAAAAAAATCCCTCCCCTGTTAGTTTTAGCTAAAGACCCTGACTAACCCCAGTATTTCTGCTACCCAAACTCCTTCTTTATTCAAATGTATTCTATCTGTTTTATTAGGCCCCAATCCCGACCAGAATTCAATCCATTATCCTCACCGGGACACACACTAGTACCTGCCTTCCTTTTCGTGACAAATATGCAGCGCTCGCTCTTGAAAACGAAGCTATTTTGCATGTTTTTGATTTTGTACGCACGAGGGGAAACGCTGGCATCTGGATGGAGGAGGTTAGGCCTCATCCTAGGGCAAAGGTCGCCTCGAGAAAGAGCTCCCAGAGGCGGCCGCCATCAACAGCTTAGCAGCCCGTGTCAATGGGCTCTCGGCGCGTGAGAATTTGTTGCCCTGCAAGCTTAGGGGGTTGGCAAGGTGAAGGAGATGGAGCAGGAGAAGGAGTTCCTCCAAGACAGGTGAGGCAGGGCTCACCTGAGCCGCATACATCACCGTCTCCCCGGCACCCCGGCAACTTACCGACACAGGGCCCATGTTTAGTAGACAGTTTTATTTACGCTGATGGCCATAAATATTTGAATTACAATATAATATTTAAGACCGAAGCCAGAGCTCCGTTCAGCTCGGCTCAGCTCCTCGTAGCTTCTCCGGGAAGCGGAAAGAGTGAAAGATTTATGGCCGCCGCAAATCTACGCCAGCCACTTAATGCATTTTAATTTATTAAGCTGTCAATCTGCCAGGTGGAGCCCTCGCACACCTGGCCATGTCGCACATGTGACTGGGATAGGGATTGAGATTGAGATTGAGATTGGGCCTGCGAAGAGTTATGAGACTTGTCGTGGACACGAACGGCATCCAAGTTGACTGCATTAGAGTAGCCACAAGTAACAAGTAACTTTCTTCGTTGAGAACCCAATGTCGTTGCTTGCCAGTCACTTGTCGCCTGTCATTCCGCCGTCAGTAGTCCTCGCCGGACTCCAGCCAAATGGCCAATTTCAATTAGTGATGCAGAGCCGGAGCTCCTGGACCTGCAGAGCTTACAAACGCAGGACACACACGCGTGGGCCGAAGAGTGTCCTTGCAACAGGCCGCCTACACTGGGAGAAATGGAGAGCGACAACCAGATATCATTTGAAGTGTCATAGAATTATAACATCGAATCAAAAATCGAGCATAACTGAGCCAAAAATATTAAAATTTTTTAAAGTGATATTTTCCATATTTTTAAGGATACTTTTTTCGAAAAGGTTAAAATAAAAAAAACCATAACTATGTCAAAAACGCATCAAATTCAATTTGGAAAGCTTTTCTATGCTAGTTTTTTCTGGGTTAACAAATCTCCATACTTCATTAAATTTTTTAAGAAATCAAAATTTAGGTAAATTTTTGAGAATTTTAATGATGTAACCCCTTATCAAATTTTGAAAAAAAAAATTTTTCTGGCGGACATGTCTAGAAAGACTCGCCTGTTGATGCTGATCAAGAATATATATGGTTTATAGGGTCGGAAATGACTCTTTCATTGCTTTGCAAGCTTCTGACTAAAATAATAATAAACAAAAAAGCCCGTTTTCAGACACCTATTACAAACTAATTCAAAGAGCAGATCAATAGAATATATTCCCAAATATTCCCAAATATTTCCATATATTACCCTATAGTTTTTTTATTCTTATTAATTGTTTTTCCAGTGCATTCGATTCACAACAACCTGCTGCCTGCCTGCCTGGCTGGCTGGCTGTTTAAATATGAGCAACAGATTAAAACTTAATTTAAAGTTGACCCTGCCCGCCCTGGGTTTCGTGTTTCCACTTCAAGTTTAATTAATATGTTAAGCCCGTAAAAGCCGCATCGGTAAACTAACCCCGGCAGCCTGTTCTTCCTTCCGTCTCCTCTGTGCGTGTGTTTGTTTTTTGTTGTTGCCAGGATCCTTCTTCCCCTTCATATTATTTCCCCCCAAGCTTGGGCAAACACAAAGGCATCCGGACTCGGATTCGGGATTCCGAATTCCGAAGAGGGAGTAGCTGGAGGAGATGATGAAGGTTGGTTGAAGCATCTTGAACGCCGGCTTACATGTGTAGCTGAGGAAGGACTGCCTGTGAATACCAATTGTCTGGCAAGTCCTACTTACATTTCATCTGCGTGTGCAGTGTTAATCCGCAAAAATCGGTTCTATATATGCTATAGTGAGGCTATATGCAGCCACATATATATGCTCGGATGCTATATGCTCCTCTGCATTGTCTCTAATGCGTGCTTAAAGCGCATTTCCAGCGTTTCGAGCACCGCCAGCACGGTTGAGTGGGTACAACTGCGGTAATTTTGCTAGCAGTCTTTTTATTCGATTTACTTATAAACTAAAACCACAAGGAGTTGGCTTAAAGGCTATAGAAATTTGTTAATTAGGTTCCTTTTTGACTCCTCTCAAGAGCTCAGTTACAGACATAATATCTCCCTATAAATAAGGTAATAAACGTACCTATTTAACCCACCGCTGCTGTGGCTACATGCCCAAATGCAGCAACAAAGCTGGCACAAAGCGTGTCCGCCACTCGACAACAAATGCGCTGTAATTTGAGGCGACAAGTGTGCAAAACGCAAAATTTAAATGCATTTCACGCACTGCGGCTGACGCACAGCGCCACCACCCTCCCCCACGTATCCACTAATCCTGGCAAATCCGCGGAATGTCCACCACCAGCTGTCACGTCAAGTGACAGGCCTGTCGCCGCCAGCCAGTGCCCACTGTGGCGGCTTCTGCTGCTGCACTCGAAACGCAACAGCAACCAGCACTTGACCAATTTACGCGGGGATTTCAATTAAACAGGGACACGGAGTGTCCTTTGTTAGGCCTTTTTTTATGGCCTTGCTTATCAGCCGGAATGGAGCAGCAATTAGAGCGAAAGAGTGATTTATCTAATTAGCTGCGGGACACGCCACTTCCACCATAAAATCGCAAATTCGGGCAACTCTCCACCTGTCTTGGTTGCTTGAAGAGGATTCAAGGAGTCACGCACACTGGCCATGGATAAAAGTTTTGGACTTTTGCTATTAATATTTAATTTAATAATACTAAGATGAAGTAATCTAGAAAATCTAGAAAAGTCTTGAAGTTGTTCATTTTCCATTTAAATTTGATTTTTCAACTAAATTTGTATCCTTTCCTTGACTAAAGCTAGAAATTCCTTGGCCAAAAATGTAGTTATTTAAGACTAGAATAAATTTCCTTTCAGAATTTAAGAGTATGCAAATATCCTGGAGGAGGAAAGTCAACATTTTACAAGTTTTTCACACCCTGTGACGAGGCGAAGGAATATATATGAGAGAATATTAAAATCGCATTTTGCTTGAGGTGTTCGCTTTATAAAGCCATTAGGAACTATGCACTATGGTGGACCTGGGGGATGGATCGGATCCCTGGATGGATACACGCCGCAAGTGTCGGCTGTCGTCGGCCGGCATTTTAACACTTTAATCATTGAAATGCAAATTCCGGGCCCAGTTTTTGGGCCAAGACACATGTGTGTGTATGTTAACACAACGCCGAGTGTGACACGCCCCCCGGTTTCTGGAGAGGACAGCAGCAGCTCAGCAAGCAGTAGTGTTCCTGGGATTTAGCATATTTGGAGGCCGAGTCCCAGGCGCATTTTGAATTCAGACAGAGCAGGAGAGCTCCCTCCTCCGCTTGAAATAATGGAAATGAAGGCAAGCAAGGAGCTCGAAGCTTGGAGCGAATAAATTAACCTGCATCGCATTTATATTCGAAAGTAGTGGCCCAATGGAATGGCTTCTTTATTGCACGTAAATAAAGTCATAAAGTCATCATTACAACCGCGCCAACAAGGACCAAGACCCTGCAGAAGGGAAGCTGCAATGTCAGGTCGCAGCACAAAGGACAAACTTTTGTGACCGCGATAAAAATTCGCACAAATGTGCACAAATTACTTAAAACATATTAAAAACTGTTCGTCCTTTCCCCTCCCAAACAACAGTTTGCTCAAAACGTTGCAGAAATTAAAAACTCTTTGAAGCCACCGCTGCGGTGGTGGAGCTCTCGAGATAAAAGAAATTCTCCATATCCTTGGTTGGGGCAAGTTTTGTCAGCGAAGAGAACTCTCTTCCTCGAAAACAAGTGCAGTGCAACTTTCGCTGGAAACTCTGAATGTGTAGCTGTTCCCCATTGAGAGGAAACTTGAGTAATTTAGTTTAAAGGCTAGCACATTATTATTGTCACGAAATATTATCAACAAAGTTGTGATTAAAATTATAATTTTGGAAATTAATGTATGAAGTTACGCTATGTTTTATGCTTTTATTTTATATATTTTTTTATTTTGAAGTTAAATGTTTATATAAACTGTATACTCTACATTTTGTGGCCGAATTATGTTTATAGTATTTAAAATTAGCGCCATATGGGCAGCATTGTTCGATATGTTTTGCATAGAGATGGAACTAAACATGATGTAACAGTGTGCAAGGTGATGAACATATTCAGCTATCTCTCTTTCTCTTATGGGGGATTATTGATATCGAAAGCCCATCCGCGTGTTATCGTTGCAAATGCCATCTCTATCTCGCCGGCAAGTGAATTAAAAACATTGGATAATCCGGATTCCCAAGTATGCTAAACCTATCCCTTGTGCTGCGGGTGCAAACCTCCAGACAAGTCGCCTCCTATGCCACCGCGGCGGCCACCAAGCCAAAGCCTCAACCCACAAAGACGCGTGAAAAGTCCAGAAAGCAGCAGCCGGAGCAGCCCCTAATCTCGTGCCGGCGCACGCAGTTCAATTTAAGCCAACACGAGCGCCCAGATGCCAAGTTCGGCAGCCTGGCACTGGCCTCCAGCGGCTGGCTGCACCACAAGTCCAAGGGCGACTACTTCATCCTGAATGCCAGCGTCAGAGCAGAGGAATTGCAGCGGGAGATGCAGAGTGTGGAGGCCTTCCTGGAGACCTCAGCTGTAAAGGTTCACCCACAGCTACTGGAGAACCTGCGCGGGGAACTGGGAGTCCGACAGCTGACCGGCATCCAGGTACAGGGCCTGCCCATTGTCAACGAGGGCGGCCACTGCCTGATTGCTGCAGAGACGGGATGCGGCAAAACCCTAACCTATCTGCTGCCCATTTTGGACAGGCTGCTCCAGCAAAAGGCGCCCGAACGCAGGCTCAATACGCCCCGTGTTCTGATACTGACACCGGGCCGGGAGTTGGCCACACAGATAGCCGCGGTGGCCGAGAAGCTCACCCAGGGCACCGGCCTGAAGGTGAGATCCCTCCTAGGCGGCAACACCAAACAGCTGATGATGAGCCCGCAGTTCGAGGAGGTGGATGTACTGGTGGCCACTCTGGGTGCCCTAAGCAAGCTGGTGACCACTGGCATCTACCGGATGGAGCAAGTGCGTCACCTGGTGCTCGATGAAGCGGACACGCTGCTGGATGACACCTTTACGGACAAGCTGACCTACTTCCTCAGGCGGTTTCCCGTGAGTACTTGGAGCAATGCCAGGAGGGAGCTTGCCTAACCTCCTCGTCCTCCTTATACCCTCTATAGTTCCACTTGGTTCACAAGCCGGATGCCGGTACCCAGCTCATCCTGGCCTCTGCCACGATGCCCACAAATACCAGGGAGATCTTGCACAGGGTCATTGATGTGGACACCATCCGAGAGGTGGTGAGTCCGCACCTGCACCACCTGATGCCGCACGTGACCCAGAAGTTCCTGCGCCTGTCCAAGGCCGACCGGCCCGCCACCTTACTCTCGCTGGTCAAGCAGGACCTGGCCAAGCGACGACCCCTGATCCTGTTCAGCAACAAGTCGGCAACCAGCGACTACGTCTCCATCTTCCTCAACAACAGCGGCGTGAACTGCCTCAACCTGAACGGCGACATGCTAATGAAGATCCGCCTAGGCCGCTTTGAGCAGTTCCAGAACGGTGGCTGTGACGTGCTCTCCACCACGGACGTGGGCAGTCGTGGCCTGGACACCACCCGGGCCCGGCATGTCATCAACTTTGACTTCCCCTTGCACGTCTCCGATTATATCCATCGCTGCGGGCGTATTGGTCGCGTGGGCAGCGTGGACAAGGCGCTGGTCACCAACCTGATCTCGTCGAGACGCGAGATTGACGTTGTCCAGCGGATAGAGCATGCGGCGCGGACGGGCGGCTTGCTGCCGGATGTGAATGCCAACATTAGGAACATCATCAACAAGCGAATAATGGCCGAGATGAAGGCGGCGGGTGTGCCCGTTCCACAACAGGCACAGGAGGAGGCCTTTTAGTTGTTGTTTCTTTGTTTTGCGAGTCAATTAAAGTTGTGTTTTCCTGAAGATACTGGATTCCTGACTTCCAGGATAAATTATTGTCCCTGAAAGGTACCTTACTCCCCCTTAAGCTCCCTAGTGGTTTCATCCCTCTCCCCATAATGAGCCGCCAATAATCTACAGTGAAAGTCTAGAGTTTTTGCTTTTATTGAGATCCCCTCCGGCTTCCTCCTTCCTCCCATCAATCAGATCCTCAGATAGTGATAGCCACTGGTTGGCGGCCATCTTCTCACATTTGTCAGCGGCTTGAATAGCTTTCGCTTGGCAATGAGAATGTCGGAGGAACTGCCGCCAGCCACCGCAGCAACACTTCCACCATTTGCCGCCGACGCAGGAGAGTCCAGGGAAACAGCCGTAACCTGGGCCTTGGGCTTGAGCAGCATCGGTCGGCAGCCGGCGAACTTGAAACGTATGTTGCCAGCGCAGTTGAGCTGCAAATTCGGCGGCTGGAGCTCGGGGAAGGCCTCCCGAAGGGTAGGCTTCGGCTTGAGGGCCTTGCTGGGATCATCACCATGGCACATGGCGGCCGCCAAGGTGCTCCATTCCAGGCGACGCACACCGGGCACGGATTCGATTCTGTAAGCGGGGGCCTTTGAGCCCACATAACGCCGGGTTACCATCTTCTCGTAGGCTCCTGGAAGAGACACAAAGGATAAGAAAGGGGTTTCTTGGAATCTCAACTCTTGAAACCTACGCGCATAATGCACCAGAAAGGGCTGGAGGGCGGCGGCTCCACATCCGTGCTCCAGCCACTCGTACAGGTAGATGTCATCCCGTCCGCCCAGGAAAATGGCAGCCGGAGCCAAGTCCCTCCACAGGCTCTCCGGGATCTCCGCCACGCGTAGCTTGTAGATGTAGGGTATAAACTCACGGAAGGCGTACTCGCCCAGGGCAATGAGTCCTCTCACCGCTCTGCTGATGTACTTAAAGTCTGAAAAAGGAAACTCTGAAGGAAACTCTGTGGAGGATTAGCTAGGGACACCCACCTCTCTCGCTGCAGACATCGCGACCCTCGAAGAATCTGGCCAGGCGACGCATGATTAGGAACAGGCACTCTGCCTGCAGGTAGCCACTCTGGGAGGCCAGCTGGCCAATGGTTTCGCAGAGCTCATCCACCAGGGCATTGCTCACGGGACTGGCAAAGTAGCTGGAGAGCTGTTGCGGCTCCTCCGGCTCGGGGGTGAGGCCCTCATCCTCCGTCTGCAAGCTGTAAATAGTGTGCTCCTCGGCAGGGAACTCCAGGGGCTCCTGGTCCGACTCTAGCTTGAGCTGCTGCTGCTCCTCCTCCAGCTCCATCTTGACCGGAGCCTGGCCGAGATCCGCCGCCGCCGCCGCTGCCTCTGGAGGAGGAGCTTCCAGCGGCGCCTTGATGGTCTCGTAGGGAGCCATCAGCTGGCTGACGAGCACCTCCGCCAGGTGGAAGTACTCCGGCCTACAGGCACTGTGGTTGGCATGCGCATTGTAGTTGCAGGCCCGGAGCAGCCGCCAGCAGCGCCGACTCAGTACGTCCTGCTGCTTGAAGGCCAGCAGCTGCACCATTTTGCTGACCAGGACGCGGTAGACGGAACCCATGAGGGGCGTCTGGTAGGCGTGGGCCACGGCCTCGTTCTGAGACTTGCTGTCCGCAAAGAGGGCGGCCGTCACCAGATTCTGGACGCACTGCTTCAGCTGTTCCGCGTGCCTGTCCTCCACGGGCCGGATGCTATGGAAATCAACATCGTCGGCCATGGCCAGGCTGATCTCCTTTTGGAACTCCTCGCGCAGCTCGAAGATCTTGTCCGAATGGAAGTAGTAGCTGCCATCGTAGTCAATGCGGTCCCACTCACTGTCCATGGCGCCCAGCATGGGCGGCACATTGGCATCCTTGAGCACCTCGTTCACCAGGTCGTAGGTGACCACGCCGCCCGAGTGCCGCGAGTAGATCTTTACATTCTGGCAGGGAGACAAGGGATTAGCGAGATGGAAAACAATTGTGGAGGATTAGAGGCGCTTACGTTGATCAGTTCCCAGACCTTGTAGGAGGCATCTTCCGCCAGGCGGGCGCATACATCCTGCGACAGTTCCACATCCGTCTGGTCATGCTGCTCCCAGAAGATCTTGATGCTGCGCGGATCGAAGCCAGCGTAGCTCTTGTGATGACCCTGCAAAGAGGCATTGGATTTGTTCAGAGAAACCTAAGGATATAACCTTGCTTTAGCTCTCACCATTCGACTGGCGTTTCCTGAGGCCTCGCCGGCAGCTATTCCCGCTGCTCCGTGCCCGCCGCCTGCCACCGAAAACGAGGCATCGAACAGGTTGTAGTTCACCAGACTCGAGGTGGGTGTCGTGGGCGTTGTTACCATATTCAAATGCGTGGGCGTGGCCGGCAAATTGCCCACTGCCAAGCCCACGCCAGCGCCCACGCCCAGACCCAGGGCAGAGCCAGAAACGGCGACTGCACCGGCGGCGGCAGAGGCAAGAGATGCCGAGGAGGAGCTCTTGCTGCTGCCCAACTCCAATTTTGCGGTCTTGGAGCGCGATTTGGTGGACTTCTTGCTGACCTTGCTGTGCGATGACTTGTTCAGCTCGTCCGGATTGCCGGCACCCAGGTTTTTCATCGTCTCATCTGTTCTGTTGGTGGAGTTTCAGCGAAAAAACATTGGAGGTGGCGGCAAACAAAAAATAAACAAAAAATTTCGCAAGATTTGCAGCCAACCAGTGTTGGGTAATTTGCAAAAAGCAGTAACAGTAATCATAGGCAAGATTATCTGGCTTAAATTAGAAGTTTTATTAAAAAGAAAAGAAAGACAAAATAATAATTAAGATAAAGCATTAGATCTTTTTTAGAATCAGGATAATTAAGGTTTTTTTTACTGCAATTTCCAGCAATATTCGATAATCGATGACCGATAACTAATCACTTTCCACGCTTTACAATACTGCACACTCAACTGTTGAATTTTACTCAAATTAATGAATTAAAATCATAAATATTGCGCGTCAACATGGCAGAAGCCGCCAACGTGCGCCAAAACCTGCAGAATGTGCCCTCAATCTTCGAGATATCGGCGGCAGAGACACTGGACAATCTGATTTATCCTGCGCTGAGCAAGATCTTCGACTACTTTGGCCTCCGGCTGGACTTTAAACTCTGGGGCAATCTCAGGGTCCAGGAGGAGCTCTCGCCGCTGCTCACCTGGCTACTGCAGTATCTATACCTGCGCAACCGTGCCTCCTCCTTTGGTGAGAGCTTCTACGGGCTGCAGCGCACGGCCACAGCAACCGGCGAACTGCTGACCCGCCGCCAGCAGTTTGCATCCGCCACACTGCTGACCCTTCTGCCCTACGTGGAGCGCAAGCTGCGCAACCGGAGCGCCCGGCACGAGGACTCGAGCGCGTGGGAACAGCGGCTGCTCAGTGCCTTTCATGCCTTCCATGCCGCCAAAGCGGTGCACACATTCCTGTACCTCATCAAGTACGCCTCCAGTCACTCGCCCCTCTTCCGTGCCCTACGCCTCACGCTCCGCTATCCGAGTGAGCCGCCGCGGGAGGATCAATGGACCTACCTTGTGCTCAAGATGCTCGAGGTGCTGGCCTTCTTCCTGCAGTTCGTTCAGTGGTGGTACTCCAACGACCAGCGCCGCAAGGTGGGCGGAACCCTGCTGAACCCCGAGCCGATGCCGCAGCAGCAGCAGCGGGATCTCGACGATCTGCCCGAGGAAGTGAAGCAAGCGATGCCCAAGCGTGGCGAGTGCCCTGTCTGCCTGCTGCCCCTGCAAACGCCAACGGCCTGCTCCGTCTCCGGCTATGTCTTCTGCTGGAAGTGCATCGTTAGTTGCATGAAGGAGCACGGCCATTGTCCGGTCACACGTCACCCCATTACCCTGGAGGACTTGGTGCGCATCTACGAAACGTAGTGACTTAGGTTGCCATAAGTATTTTGTTCGTTTTTATATTTTTAAGACAGTTTTTCCAATACAAATGTGATACAGAAATGTAACTTTGGTTCAGATTGCGGTCAAGTGGACGCCCAGACGCCGATCGTATCAGATGTGGACGTGGTTGAAGTCAAAGTAGGCCACGCAGGTTTAGAGAGAATGTCGTCCAGCTGTGAATACATTTTTATAAATTAAAAAGTAAATCTTACGATCTTTGATGTACAAAGACAAATCCTACACATCCATACCTTATAAGTATGACTAGATAGATCAGTTTACATTTTTCCTTAAAGATATATCGTTCTCTCAATGACTATCCTCCGGTGCACTTCCACCTCCTCCACGTGCTGGACGCTAATCAATCGGTATAACAGGTAGCAGGCCAATCCAATCGCGGCAATTAAGCCCAGATAGAAAATTAGGGAAAAAACCGCAGACAGAAGCACTTCGAGTAGCCAAAAGGCCCAAGAAAGTAGCTTGAACAAGAGCGAGACTAAAAACTGGAGTACAGACCAAATGGTTCGCAGCAACCAAGCAAGGAGAGCCAACAGTTGGGACGGCAAGTACCACAGCACCTTGAAAATATATCTGATTAAGGATATATTCTTTTCCTCCTGACAGCCGTATCTAGTTTCCTTGGAGACCAATCCATTGTTGCGGCAAATCAGCTGCTTCGCCTTGGACAGATCACAGCGGCAGTTTTCCAATGGCTGGCAAAAGGTCTTATCTTTGGGATCACACAGTCTGACGCATTGCTCGTTGCTTATTGCATCAGCTTCGTTGTCCAACTCCTTCCAGCATAGGCAGTCGTCGGTGCAGAGGGCGAGATCTTTGTTTTGTGGGTCCTGGCCATAGGAAGTTCTTAAAAGTTGACCACATGGGAAAAGCAAGACTATAAGACACACTAGGCGGCTATCCATGACTTATGCCGGTTTTTTCTAGTAATTTTTTTTGCGAAGATAATCAGTCAGTTCAGTGCAGTGCTCTGCGGAAAACTGAAATATCATGTTCTTTGTCTAGGAGGTGTGGGAAAAGCTCTTTCTATATTCGGGGATTCACACATTTGGGATCAATTATTATCGGTTTGATTGGAAAGCTACTCAGCTTATCGATTATGTTGTTAAATAAGTATTTAAAAATCATGTAAAATAATCGAAGAAAGCATTCCTAGCCATTTTCAGTTCTTCATACATATGTCCATATTTTGAACACGTATGTATGTACTTACATTTTCCCTGCAGTTCTTCCCTTCCTTCTTCTAAGGAATTCCTAGTCATGCTCTGAACAAATTCCTTCCGAAAATCCTCGGGAATTCCTTCAGAAATGATTTAAATCCTCGGGAATTCTTTATGAATTCCTGTGGTTTGGTACTGAAGATTGAACCGGAAGGGTAACTGCATCCAGCAGGCCAGCATCCTCCTGCCCTGGCGCTGGGAATGATGTTGAAAGCCCGGCAGTAAGTGGAGGTTGGGCCACCACCAAATTGTATACCATGGGCAGCAGGCCCAAGGTGAGAAGGGGAACCCCCGAGTAGCGAAGACATTTATCAATACATTCTTTTTGATTTTAAAAAACGTTTATTTATTTCAATCAAAGCTTTTTTAAAGAGTTCGGTAATTGCCACTGCGCTGCTAAAGCTCAAATAAATACAATCATTTTGCTTAGAGTCTCATTAAACCAATTTCGAATCGCGTTTTGTGTAAAAAATTTAACATTCTGCCTAACTAAAATCATGTATAAATAATGCATATTTTCTCATACTGAATTCATCTAAACTTTCTAGCTTACAAATAATTAATGAAAAGAAACCACATAATCGCGAAAATAGAACCAATCGAGAGGATATAGATGTAGAGCCTTAACTAAAAGCGTGTCCTCTCATATACTGCAACGTTTTCGGCAACGGAATCCCTTTGGAAAAATTAAGTAAACCTTGAGCTTAAGCTAATACCGCGTATGTACAGAATACTCGATGATGGCTGGATGCTAGCTGAGAGCTGGTATAAGATCTGGATCTGGATCTGTGCTAGAACTGTGATAGGTAAAGACCATGCTTGGCATCGCACACCACGTTGAGGGCGTGGAAGTCCCAGTAGGAGGTCATGTGGAAGCCCATGTTGGTCAGCACCACCACATACTCGAACAAGGCGAAGAAGGTGTAGACTGTGTGGGTGTAGAGATTAAGAAGATATATGTAAGAGTAACGTAAACACAGGATCTTCTTGTCCTCCCAATTTATCCTAGAAATCTTCCTTCATCCATTTTTATTATCATTATGACTCACCTCCCGCCTCGCAATGGGAATTGTGCCTCACGAAGCAATATCCCGCCAGTCCAAAGGCCACCACATTGACCAGAAAGAGGTTCCGCTTGTACCTCAGCGACTTCTCTTCGTGCGGCAACAGCACTGCCTTCCGGGCATTCCTGTTCAACAGATACGAGACGAGCATGTAGCACTCGGAGCAGGCAATGAACACCACAAAGGCATTCCGGTGCGTCTCATAGTGATCCGCCGATGTCCAAAAGGAGAGGCAGAATAGGGCAAGATCCTCTACCACGTTCAGGCAGCAGGCCAGGACGCCCAGCAACCGCCGGCTGCGTCTGATGTGCTCACGATAGTGTTCCAGGTACATCTTGGCCACGGCCAGCCGGAGCGGCAGGTGCAGAAAGATGGCCAGCCGCCAGACTGTTCGCTGGGGCTCATAGTTCCCAATCGCCGCCGACACAGAGGGCAGATAGTTGGCCACATCGCAGTGGGTGTAGGTGCTCCGCACAAAGTCAAAGGCCAGCGACCAGGCCACGCAGAAAAGGAAGCCGCCCAGGGGCAGGCTCAGAGCGGTAAGCGCCAGCCGGGCGAAGGGCAGCCGGAAGAAGACGCTCTTCGGGTCGCTGAGGCGCTCGTACGTGGGCAACATTTGGGTGCGAGAGTGGGTCTAGGAGGTTGGGTTGGTTCAGTCAGCGGGCCGCGATCCTCATTGCATCCAGTGGCTCTCTCCTAATTAGCTAAAAATATCCGCGGACTGCTTACGTTGTAAACATTGCGAAGGAAGTTGTAAACAACTGAGTGATCGATATCATCAGCTGAGCTGGCTATCGACACCTGGCGGGGGTGGGTTTGCACCGCGGAAAGTAACTGCCATCAGAGATGGCACAACAATCGATTGGCATAAATTTAGCTATTTAAAGCCTGCATTTTTTTAATGCATTTGTTTAAATTAATTTAATTTAAGTTAACCAATTTCGAGTTATTCTCGTTTTTCCCTGTTTGTAAAAATTGCCAAATAAAAAAATCAAAAAGTAACTGAAAAAAAGCTAATTTAGCTTAAATAAAAGCTAACACGCGCACACCTATCGATATCGGTGCGTCTATTGCCGGCTATGTGTCATCCCTATCAGTGCTAAACAAAAACAAAACACGCGCAAAAATATAAGAAAAAATTGCCATTGTTTATACCGGACAGATCATCAGAGATGGACATCCTACTGGCCAACGTGAACGGCCTGCAGTTCAAGGCGGAGCGGGACCTGATCGAGCAGGTGGGCGCCATACCGCTGCCCTTCTATGGCATGGACAAGTCCATTGCCGCCGTCTGCAGCGGCCAGGAGTGCGACAAGGGCAGCGCCTGCCCCTTCCGGCACATCCGCGGCGACCGGACCATTGTGTGCAAGCACTGGCTGCGCGGCCTCTGCAAGAAGGGCGACCAGTGCGAGTTCCTGCACGAGTACGACATGACCAAGATGCCCGAGTGCTACTTCTACTCGCGCTTCAATGCCTGCCACAACAAGGAGTGCCCCTTCCTCCACATCGATCCGCAGAGCAAGGTGAAGGACTGCCCCTGGTACAAGCGCGGCTTCTGTCGCCACGGACCCCACTGCCGGCACCAGCATCTGCGCCGGGTGCTCTGCATGAACTACCTCGCCGGCTTTTGTCCGGAGGGTCCCGCCTGCAAGCACATGCATCCCCGCTTCGAGCTGCCACCCCTGGCGGAGCTGAGTAAGGATCAGCTCCACAAGAAGCTGCCCACGTGTCACTACTGCGGTGAGCTGGGTCACAAGGCCAACTCGTGCAAGCAGTATGTGGGCAGCGTGGAGCATCGCAACAATATCAATGCCATGGATCACTCGGGACACTCTGGGGGGCACTCGGGTCACTCCGGCCACTCAGGCGGACACTCTGGTCATTCTGGTCACTCTGGTGGACACTCTGGACACTCGGGGCACTCAGGTCACTCGGGCCACTCCGAGGGCAACGAGGACGGCTCCTCTAGCCACCACAATCAGCACGGTCCGCCCGGCTACGTCAAGGTGCCCACGCCGCTGGAGGAGATCACCTGCTACAAGTGCGGGCACAAGGGTCACTATGCCAACAAGTGCCCCAAGGGCCACCTCGCCTTCCTCTCCAACCAGCATAGTCATAAGTAGAGCCTAGGAATAAGAGTTTGTAATGTAGCCCCCACAGAGGGAGAGAGTTCAGAAATAAATCTTCCGCGGAGACGGCGGGATCTTTCCTTCGATTCCAGCTGCTGGAGGTCTCGAGGTCGCAAAGCAATCAAGTTGAAGCTCTGAAATAACTGAAACCAACTGCCCCTTTGTTATCAGCGAAATAAAAACATAATTTAATTTTACAAATTCGTGTTGGCAAGCTTTTTTTAGTTTTTATTAAAAATAAAAAAAAACACCTAAAACTGGGATTAGTTTCCTTACCTTTCAAATTTCGTCAAAATAATTATAAAATTAAAAAAAAAAAAATTAGTTTTGAATTTGTATCGAATACTTATCGGTATTTAGTAGTCGTTGAATCGATAGGGTCATATCGATAACTTTGGGTCTCATCGATACGATACCGTTGGCTCACCGAGTACAACATCAATTGCGCACCAAATTTTCAGTAAAAACAAACAGAGTCGGATTATTCGGACGGAAGCCAAACATCCAGGAGCAGCCATGACAATTCTGGGCAAATTGCGGGGAGAGATCAAGGACCAGGAGAAGGTGCCACTGCCTATGAACCTCAACGATGAGGCACTGATGCACCATGGCTCGTTAATCGCAGTGAGTTTTCTTCATCTCGCCCCCTCCCCCCTTTTTGCGCAATCGTTTGGGGTGGAGTGTGTCCTTGCCCCCCACCTACCCTGTCTCTGTGCTGTCCTTCGGCCCGCGAGCCACAAGTTTCGCAAGTGGGTGGCTCGGTGGGAGGTCGCATTCCTGCGCTCCGAATTCCGAATCCGAATCCGAGTCCGAAGCGTAATCGGGGAATCTCCAGCCTCAGCAGCCTCGGCTGCCTGCAGGCTATCGATTTTTCGCTCGCTTGGAATTCCCACTGTCCTTGCACTGTTTTTCTCTGACGCTGCTCCTCAGCTACTCCCCTGCTGGCTTCCTACACCCCTCCCCCCCTTCAAGGACTCGCTCCCCGAGGTCAGAGTGGAGGCTCTGCTGGTCCTTCCTGTTGCTGTGTTGCATGTGCAGCTCGAGTGGCCCTGACAGCTGGCTGGGATGGAGCAACCCAATTTGGCTTTCCGAGCTCCAATTTCCAGCTCTTTGTTGTCGCTGACTGGCACTTGCTCTTTGGCCGCGCACAGTGACCTCGATAAGCACACTCTCCCTCCCAGCAAGACATGACCAGCAGGTGTAGAGAGTAGCCCAAAGAAAGTCGTGTCTTATCAGCAAAAACTCCAGACTTTTCGAATTCTCCACATATAACGTCTTATCTGTCAGTCGTATCTTTATAGATATATATTTGCTATTGTTGCTATTTCCACCACCCATTTTGGTTTGTCTAGGGACCACTGTATCGTAATGGGCAGCGATGATGAGTTAATATAATCGTAGCTAACGTAGGGTTCCATTAGGCGTAACCCAAATTTGTTTAACTTGATTAAAGCTAATTAATTAGATTAGCTTTCGCTGTCATATATTTATGAGATTAATGAGAGTATGAAATATGGTATTAAAAATATTTATTTTATATAATATTTCATATATTTTCTATTCTTATAGAACATCTTAGTTCTTATCTTTAAAATAAACGAAAACTACTATATATTATAACTACTATATAGTATCAATGGTAGAGTTTAATATAGAGTTTTCTTATTTCCATTTATAAAAATAATATTTTAAATTTGATATTGGGATATATAAATACACAAATGTTGGATAACATGGATATTTTTAACGTTGAATGGGGATCATTTGATATTAAGCGTTATATAATTGTCTATATATCATTGAACGTCTCTCGATATATGTAAATTTCAAACTAGAATTTATGGATAATGTTTCTAGTTCTGGAATCTCTACTGTAATAATTAATTGTATATTTTTCATGTTTTACTGATTAGAAATATCAAAGTATAAAGCTAATTGACTTGACACAATGTGGCTTGGATGGCCAGTATATCATTTTATTATACATTATTTATGGATTTAAAATAATAACAAAGAAAAGCTTACAATACAAAAGCAATACAATCCAAAAGCTATTCAACTGTTTCCAGAAATACCGATTTTGCTTGAGTCAGCATTTAATCACAACAACATTTAGCTTCTAGAAAATGAGAAAACTTGACATGCTATATTTGTATTTTTTGGTGGAATCAGCATTTGTTGATAAAATCAAAATATGCTTTCGGGATGCCGAAATTTGTATGCCCTTGCCAAAGGATCTTGACACGATCTTCAATCGAAAATTGATCATAACTTAGGCAAAAAAGCACCAAATTCAGCTCGGAAAGCTTTTTCAAGCTGGTTTTTTCTAGATTAACAAATCTGTATACCAAATTTGATTTTTTAAGAAATCGAAATTTTTTTCAATTTTTAAAAATTTTAATGATGTAACCCCTTATCAAATTTTGAAAAAATTGAAAAAAATGTTTTTCTTTCGGACATGTCTAGAAAGACTCGCCTGTTTATGCTGATCAAGAATATATATGGTTTATAGGGTCGGAAATGAATATTTCACTGCTTTGAAAACTTCTAACGCTCAGCAGAGATATTATTATTTTAATATTTATCACTAAAATAATACGACCTAAACACTTACTGCCTGAGTCAAAGCTAAAAGCTCTACTTGTTTTCTTTGTGATTGCAACTTATCGCCCTTTTTATGAGTTTTTCCAATGAAAACAGTTTGAATAAGATAAGGTCTAGGCAATACGACAGCCACTGAATGCACAAACAAGCCTGTGAATGAATCCCATCTTGGATTTTGATTAGTTCCAGGAACTAGTAGTAATTATAATAATGTTTAGAGATTATAAAGGCAAATGAGTCTCAGGGGTGTTGTTATGTTTCATTTTTGCAATAAACATCAAGTTTTAAAAAAAAGTCCCAACTAACTAATTATATATGTACGTATACCTTTATCTTAAAAAGCCCAAAGTCGCCTATAGCGACACCGAAGCCGATGCCGAGTCCATGGTCTTCAACCGGCCACAGCACCATTGCTTAAAATCCTTTATCCTGTTCCTCATCGCCGTCGTGGTGATGCTGATGGGCGTGCTGGGCGGCTGGACCCTGTACCGACTGTATGCACCCTCGCATGCCAGCATGCGGTACCATGCCCTCTGCGAGATCCCCTATCCCGAGGACTCGATGGAGCAGCCAAGAATTTACCAGCGCAGCGACGAGCCCTTCGCCCTCAACTGGCGCGCCCTGTTGCCACAGTTCGGACCCCTGCCGGATAGCGATTCCCTGACCGACGAGAACAGCAGCTATTTCCGCGAGGAAATCGAACTGGACGGGGAGAATGACGACGATAGCTATGCCAGAATTGATGTGCCCGACTTCAAGGACGGACGACGTGGCAGGTTCATGCACGATTTCAAGGAGAATCAGTCGGCCATCATCGATACCACCACCGGCAGGTGCTTTATCATGCCGCTGGACAGGGAGACCACCCTGCCGCCCACCAGTTTCGTGGATCTCATGAAGAAGATGGGCACTGGCTACTACAACATCGATACGGAGCGTGTGCGTCGCCAGATGCGCGTGGTCACGCCCCGCATCACCGATCTCTCGCTCATTTCGGAGCGCATAGCCAACGAGTGCTACGACATGAAGGTCTATCAAATGGAGAAGTTCATCTCGGGGGGTAAGTGTTTACTTGGAGAAGCATCGATCACTATACTTACCTTTCCTTCCTTCTCCTCCTTGTAGTCTCGAAGCGTTCAGCTGATCCCTTGCCCGAGGCCGGCAAGTATGCTGCGTTCATGGGCAAGGGCGTCATCGAATACGATCTGGCCAATATAGTCGAGGTGGAGGCCTACGAGGCTAGCGAGCAGCAGCAGCAGCACGCCTGAGCGGCCAGCTGGAGGAGGATCTTTTAAGCTACAACAACAACAACACCCCCATATAAACCTAAACCTAAACAAATTATTACTTAGAATCAATTTATACATGTAGCGGACGCGCGGAGATCTCTATCAGTCCCGAGGTCTAGGATCTGGAGCCTGTCATCATCATCTGGCCAAGGGAATCGCCTGGAGTCCTAGTAAAGAAGCGTAAACAAAAAATGTACCTAGAGAACGCAATCAAAAGCGATCCACGAAATTTGTGACAAATACGATGGAGCAGGGAAGAGGAGAGCAAGGAGCTAGGAGCAAGGAGAGGATCGGATATCAGCATTCCAAGTACATATTTTATATAGAAGTATGCTCCTTTTAACCACATATTCCAACGGGTAGCGAGTATAGATCGAGCCCAGGAGCAGCCAGAGTCTAAGGATCCCCAAGAAAACTATCATCGGAAACAACAAATTAATCTAAATGTTCTTTAAACTTAATTCAAAATGTATTAAACGCGAATTTGTGATCTTTAAGCGAACCTCTTGCTTTATTCATTAGGAAAATTACAACTAATTAAATACTTAACAGCTTCAAGCTCCTACAGATACGGCTTGCACAGGGCTATGGTGTGATCCACGCCATAGGCCACCTTGCTCACCTTCCCATTGATGGCCGCCTTGAAGGGAAAGAACTGATCCTTCTTGTGGCCCAAGCCGAGATGCCCAAAGCGATTCTTGCCCCACATGAAGAGATCACCGTCGGAGTTGACGGCGCCCATGTGGAAGACACCGCATCCAATGGACACCACCGTCGTGGCATTGCTAAAGTCATTGCGTCCGAACAGAGGCGGCAACAGATGCTGCGGCCGCGAGGTCTGCTCAACAAAGGGCCCAAAGCCCAGGATGCCAAAGCCCCAGGTGTAGACCAGCCCCTGATCGTTGAGAGCCATGCAAAAGGATCCTCCGGCCGCCACATCTTTGATCTTGCCAATGCCCTTGGTCAGCTTGAGGGCTCGCGGTAGATTGATCTGGGTTTCCGCGTGCTCCGAGTCGTCCAACTGGCCGTACTCCGAGTTGCCCCAACCGAAGACATCGCCCGCCTCGTTGACAGCCAGAACGCAGTCAGAGGAGCAACTCAGGCGCACGATCTTCTCCTTGGCTATGTCCCCGGCAATGAGGGTGATCTGGCCAGCGGTGTGGTAGTTTCCCTGGCCGGTCTGGCCATCGGCGCCCCAGCCGCAGGTGTAGATGCGTCCGGATTTAGTGAGAAACATGGTATGATCTTGGCCGCACTCCACATGCACCAGTTCGTCCTCCTTGCCGCAGATATCCTCCTGGGGAATGCGGTGGATGAGGGCGCTCTTGCTGTAGCGCTCCTCCTCGATGATGGAGCGCCCACACTGGCCGTACGAGTTGTTGCCCAGCGTGAAGACGGTGCCGTTGTGCGTGAGCACCACCAGGTGAGCCCGGCCCGCCGACATGCTCTTCACCTGCATGTCCTCGTCCGTTTCCCCCTGGACGCGTGGCAGCTTAATGGCCGTGGGGTAGATTATGACGTCCAGGTTGGCGGGATCCTTGGGATTTCCCTTCACCTGGAAGCCCAGCTGCGAGTCTGTGTTCAGGCCGCTCCCGAAAAGCGTCTCGCCGTCGTCTCGGCGGACAGCATAGGCCGTGAATCCGTAGCCGGCGGTTACATTCGTAATCTCGTTGTTGTTGGAGAACTGCAGCCGCGTCGGATGGTGCACCATCTCCGTGTAGCGCTCCTGGGCCTTCTTCACGCTGGTCTGCAGGCCCAGTGCGCCGGTTTCCTGGAATCCCCACACATAGACGCGGTTGACATGGCTGTCCGTCACCTTTGGCGTGTACTCCTTGATCTTGGACTTGTCCTGCGCCAGCACACTCCGCTTTGCCTTGGCTGTGTAGGCTCTGGTAAGCACGGGGCCGATGCCCCTCCAGTTCTTAAGCATGTCCCGGGGAATTTTTTTACTTAAAACATGTTAAAAAGCGAGATTATTTTATATTTCCCCAATTAATTCTGCCGAGGGTTGATCAGCTGTTCATCCAGCTGGATTCCTATGCGTTTACCAACACTATTTTGCATTGGTTTGTGTCTACGATAACATGTTATCGAATGTGTTAGGGTATTCATCCGATTGTTTGGAAATCGCCTTTGTCATTCGATAACAGCCGCAATCGAACTGATGACCATCAAGGCATCGAATGCGTCAATCGAATAATAAATAAACGAAGGAATCGGCTGCGCTCCGGCGAAATCATTAAAAATTAATTGAAAAACCGCAAAACCAGCGCCGAAAAAGTGTGTAACCAGCTGGAAAATTAGCCCAAAGTGTCGCGTTCAACGCTCGCATAGCCGAAACTCGTGGTTTTACGTGCAATTCAAGTGATTTTCCATCGCAGCAGCAGCAGCATATGTACACACTCACACTCACACTCGCACACGCACACCACCCCAGTCCGCCGTGTATATACATCTGTAGGTGCGTTATGTACAAAGTATTATAATTATAAAATTGCAAGTGAGCCCAAGAGTGTGTGTGTGTAAAGTGCAATAGCCTGGGCGGAGAGTTCGGAGCGGAGTGTGTGCGGTGGAGAGTGGAGAAAAGCAAAGTGAAGTGAAGTGCGCGGCGCTGCTCCAGGAGATTCATATTCATCCGTTGCCATGTCTGGTCAAAGGGCTGCTGGGGCCGCTGGCTGCTAGGGCAAGCAAGTGGATATCTCGCCACGGATAAGGACACACAGCGAAGAGGAGTGCCAGCAGGAGGAGCAGGAGCAGGGATAGGAGTTGCCGTCGCAAGCGCTTCGTCTCCGGTAGGTACACACAAAATATTCGGCTGCTCCTTTTTAGCTCCTGTTTGTGTCGCTCTCTCTGTCTCTCCGCTTTGCTCTCTTTCGGGTGCCGCCCGCTCGCGCTGCGCTCTCTCGCGAGTCGCAAAGCACCTGGTGGTGCAAAGAAGTCCTCTCCGTGGCCCAGTGGGTGGCGGCTTTGGCCTGCAACCCTTGTGGCCCGTCACCTTTTTTTGGGTAACCATGGTCGTGTGCTAACTGTGCCATCATCCTTTGCATTTCTGGCATCACTCCGCATCACGCCTCCTGCAGGAACCCCACCCCAGTCCTGGCTGAAAGAAAGCCACCACCACCTCGCAGAGATTTTGCGCAGCAGCTCTCTCGCAGCGCAGCTCTGGGCACGGCCGGCGACTCCCTCGGCAACAAATCCCGAAAAATACGGAAAACAAAGCCCGAAACAGAAACCGAAACCCAAACCTAATCCCACTCCTCTCCAGAAGCGTCTACTTAATCAACTCTGAGAATGGGCTTCCACAGCCCACAGAATGAGTGATCTTATGTAAACAGGCCACGGATGAGGGGCTGCCCTTTGCCTCCCACAACTGGCTCCCAGATAAGCCCCTGCCCCATGCAGCTGGCCCACTTTTAGTTTCTCCTCCCCCTCCACTTCCTCCGTCTCCAGCCCCAACCCAGTCGTAACTCAATGTTATAGAACTATAAATGCTCCCATTTACGGGGCCACCAATTTGTTTGCCACGGAGGAGGAGCCACCACTGCTACTCCCTCGAATGGAACCGGCGATCATCTCGGGCCACTCCACTCTCCAGAGAGTGGAAGAAAGGGAATTACCGAAAAGCAAGAAACTTTCCGCCTCATAAACTCGTGGGCCCGTCGTCCGTGTTCCCCAAAGCACGTGCAACTCTTTCTTTCTTTACTTTTCTTTCCGTGTTTCTTTTGTTTTTTCTGCTGGCATTTTGCTATTTCTTTGAAAACAAGACGAAATGCTGTCAAGGCAATGGCACCCAGTACACAGCGGGAAAATAAGTTTATCGCAACATCCCCGATAAGATAATCATTTTAATTCAAGATCACAGTTAGTGGGTTACATGCATGTTGTTTGCTTAGCGATATGAACTTGGGTTGATAAAGATATGATAGTACTTTCGTTGTCAGCTGTAACTGCAGCTTATAAGCCATGGCAGAGTAGTGAGTTTCAAGGTCGGTCAAATTGTGATATATAAGGATTACAGGGTATTATAATTTAAGTCAGAAGCTGAAAAAGCAGTGAAGGAGTCATTTCCGACCCTATAAACCATATATATTCTTGATTAGCATAAACAGGCGCATCTTTCTGGCCATCTCCGGAGAAAATGCATTTTTTGGCCATTTTTTCGAAAAATGACCTAAAATTTGATTTTTTGAAAAATTAAATTTAGTATGCAGTTTTGTTAACCTACAAAAAACTAGCATAGAAAAGCTTTCCGAATTGAATTTAATGGATTTTTGGCTTAGTTATGGTTTATTTAGACTTTGATTTGTCCAAATAAATAAATATAGATTTAAATAATGCAAATTGGTCTCATTAGAGATTTATAATTTATCTTTCCATGTATTTAAAGTACCTATTCTCAATGTTCTTCTGCATTCCCAATCTTATTATTCCAATTAACGATCGCATTATATCACCAAACACAAATATCCCAAGTTTATGCGATATAAAGAGACGATAATACCGTCACAAGAAGCTCTTTTCCAAAGTAAAAAACCAAGAAAATAGTTTCCACAATCTATATATCCCAATAAATTCGTCCACACCCTCCTCGAATCGATTTTCAAAACACAAACAAACAGACGTCAGAGTGTCTCTGGATATCTGTGACAACATCCCAGAAAATATAGCCCAGATATATACTGTTGATATCGCACAGATGGTGTGAGAAGCAATTCCCCAATTTCCGGGCTACTATTTCCCCCAGTGCAGCGAGGGGGCGGGGTCGGGGGCGTGGCAGGCAGAGGCCTGTTGTCAATGTCTTGGCTGTTGTTTGGACGGACTTATGCAAGCGCAAACAATAACAAAACAATTGCCAAGCCAAAGAAAATCCAAATCCGAAACCCAACAGCAGTGCAGTTCATTGGCAGCCAGCCAGCCAGCCAAGCGTTTCATGTTTACCCAGAGTGGAGCTCCACCTCGTCCCCCTCACACCTTATCACCATCGGAGACACAATCTTTTTTGGGTTCTTTCTCTGCCGCTATCTGGCTCGGTTACGGTTTCACTCCCCGCTTTCTCCTCGGCACAGAGAGAGAGAAAAACAATAACAGAAAGGGGCTGAGGGTGAATCACTTGGCGACCAGTTCCTCCACTTGAGCAGGGAACTTGTCGCCTATCTCGGCGAAAGCGAAAAGCCTTGACTAATCGATGGCAAAACAAACAAACCTAAAGAGAGGGCTTCGTGTTATCAAATCAGAATTATTATGGTGACAATGGTTTTAGGCAGGAAGTTCAAGCCAAATGTTTTGGCAAGAATAGTCACAGTTTCAGGAAAGAAAACTGGGAAATACCTTAGGAAACATGAAGTTTATACAATTCAAACTCTTTATTAATTGTTAAATTTTTGAATATTTATCTTTAAGTGAATGTTGTGGGAGTTAAGCCTTTAGCTGAGTCATTTTCACTCTATTTATAACCTTATTTCAAGTCATTTTCTTGCCTTTACCTCGGGCTTAAATAAAAGTGAAACCACTTACAAATGTGGCTTAAAGTCAAAGCCCCAGAAGAGCAGAGCGTCTGACACTTATTGATTTTTAATTATGGCTTGGCTACGACATTGACTTTGATTTTCGTTGGGGTCTTTAGCTTGGCCATCGAACTCTTGAGTCTCTCTCTCTCTCTCTCTGGGCGATCTCTGCCAGCTGGCTTATGTCACTCGCTTTGGCCGATAAATCTCGGCCAAGAAACCAATTTCCTTAAACCGTAGCCAAATTCCCGTTTGTGACTCATTGCGGTCGAGTTGCTCAGTCTGTTTGGACCTGAAACAGAGGCCATTATTGCTCAAGATCTTTGGCTTTGTATGTATAAGGGTTTCCCGGTTCTGTGACCTCCTCTCTGTTTACGGGAATCAATAACCGATGATGGTGGCAGTCGCAGTCGCAGTTCCTCTGGCAATTGGTTTCAATTGAGGCAACTTTCACTTGCACGGATTTAATTGCCACACAAACTGGAAAGGCCAGCTCCCTGCTCCCAGCTCCCTCATCACTCACACCACCAACTCACACAAACAGCTCATTCAGTCATCCTCCTCAACGCTGGCTCGCTGACCCAAAACAAACATTTTCAGTTGAGTTCTTGTGTACTTCTTAAAGCTAATCATTTTCACGCTTCTTGGCTGAGAAAAATTGAAACCTAATTTGCATATCATTTGCTCTGTTTTACCTTTCTTTTCCTTCTTCTTTTTTGTGCTTTATGTTTGCGTTTGCTTATCGTTTACGTTTGCCACGCCTACGCCTACGCCTCTGCCTCTGCCTGTGCCCCCTGATAACGCCTGCCCCGCCCCCAGCAAGTATGCATTGGCCAGAGGCGGCAACATGCAGCAAGCTTAGAGTGCCCGCGGGCAGCAACACATAACCCCCGTCATATCAACATCTACATCTACATCATCAACATCAAGTCCAAGACCAAGACCAAGATCAAGACCAACTCAAGAACCCTGTCACACGCCTCCCTTGCCTCCAGGAGCAGCAGCTGTAACAACTGGGCGCCCATTGCGGAGTCCCAGCCGGAGGAGCAGGAATCTTCCCGCGGCGGAGGAGCAGTCCGGTAGTCTGGAATGTTGGAACACCCCCAGCGGTTTGTGCGCAACATCCCCGACTCCTCAGCCAGCAGCAGCAGCAGCAGCTCGCATCATCAGTATCCGCCACAGCTGCCGCAGCATCAGAATCTGAACCAGAATCAGATTTACCAGTACCGTCCCCAGGTGCCAGTTCCAGGATCACCTGCCCACCATCAGCGGCACTCGTCGCTGTCCCAGCAACAGCAGCAGCAGCTGCATCACCGCACCCTGTCCACCGCCTCCACGTGCAGTGCCCAGCACAAAAGTGTGACCTTCGGCCAGCCAGCGCTTGACTGCGGCAACGGCAGCGGAAGCGGCAGCGGGAACTCCTCCAGTGGCAGTGCCGCAGGAAACGCTGGAACCCAACCAATGGCGGGCAACATGAAGCACGGTGAGTTATTGGATTAGATTCCATCTAACTTCGGACTCCAACTTTACTAATAATCGTTATTTTTTCCCAGGCAAATCTCAGGAAGACGTGTGCTATGTGGTAGCCAAGTACGACTATGCGGCGCAGGGTGCTCAGGAGCTGGATCTGCGCAAGAACGAGCGCTACCTGCTGCTGGACGACTCCAAGCATTGGTGGCGTGTCCAGAACAGCCGCAATCAGTCCGGCTATGTGCCCAGCAACTATGTGAAGAAGGAGAAGCCCTCGCTCTTCGACAGGTGCGTCTTGAGACAGAGTCCACTGCCCCCTAACCTAAGCGTTCTTCTTGCTCTGATTTCAGCAGAATTAAGTCCTCTCTATCTGTACCCTAAAACCGTATCTGTAGCAGTAGCCGTAGATGTACATATCTGTATCTGAGAACTCCTTGATATATTTGCTTTCGGCTTTTGTATTTTTGTATTTTGTATTTTTGTTTTCGAAAACAAAACAAATTCCTTTTGCTTTCTTTGTCTGTCGAGCCCCAGCCCCCACCCACCCCCCACTAACACTTGAACTAGGGCTAGACTAATCCCACCCAGAAATCTCACCTAAATCAAGTTTCTCCTTAAAAATAACCTCGAATATCTCTCTCTCCCTCTGGCAGCATTAAGAAGAAGGTGAAAAAGGGCTCCTCCGGATCAAAGACTTTGCCCAATTGCTCGCCGTCGCGTCAAGTCGAGAGTCCAACCATGTCACGGCGCCTGCCACCGGATCCCGCCGATGCCATTGGCACTGCGGTCGTCAAGTACAACTATCAGGCCCAGCAGCCAGACGAACTTTCGCTGACCAAGGGCACGCGAATCCTCATCCTGGAGAAGTCCAACGATGGCTGGTGGCGCGGACAGAGCGGCAATTCGGTGGGCTGGTTCCCCAGCAACTACACAACGGAGGATTGTGATAACGATGGCGAGATCCATACCTATGCCATGGCCGAGAATGTGCTCGATATTGTGGTGAGTGTACACATACTTCAGTTCTGGAGGGGATCGGGTCTCATCTGATTTGGTTTTCCCAGGTGGCGCTGTACAGCTTCACGTCGAACAATGACCAGGAGCTGTCGTTCGAGAAGGGCGACCGCTTGGAGATTGTGGATCGGCCCGCCTCCGATCCGGACTGGTACAAAGCTCGCAACAACCAGGGCCAAGTCGGTTTAGTTCCACGCAATTATCTCCAAGAGTTGAACGATTACCTGGCCACGCCCTATCGCAACACGAGTGCCGGTGGCAGTGCCGGCAATGGAAATGGTGGTTCCAGCAATAACGGTGCCGGCGGAGGCGGTGGCGGCGGCGGTAGCGACTCCATGGAGCGACGCAACGAGGGCAACAACAAGTCGTCGGCACAATCTTCCTCCGGCCAGCCCATCGAGCGTCCCAACTTGGCAGGCAAGTCATGGTACTACGGGGCAATCACCAGGAGCCAGTGCGACACCGTGCTCAATGGCCATGGCCACGATGGCGACTTCCTGATCAGAGATAGTGAGACTAATGTAAGTAGAAAATGCAGATCCCGCTTGGAAGCAACCTTAACTCTGGTTTCTCCCTGCAGATGGGCGACTATTCGGTTTCGTTGAAGGCACCCGGACGCAACAAGCACTTCCGGGTGCACGTGGAGCAGAACATGTACTGCATCGGACAGCGCAAATTCCATTCGCTGGACCAGCTGGTCGATCATTACCAAAGAGCGCCCATCTACACAAACAAGCAGGGCGAGAAGCTGTACTTGGTGCGATCGCTGCCCAAGGCCAATGGAACGTAAGCAGCCAAGCCAGGATCAGCGCGGAATCTCAGCATCCACAGCAGCATAGCACCCGTATTCAGCAGACACACAAAGATTATACCAAGGCTAACTTATAGGCAGCAGCTCAGCAGCGCAGCGCAGCGCGTAAGCGACGTGTAGTTCAATGTAGTTTGGATCCAGATTCATTTTGGCTTTAGATCAGACTCAGACCAGCGTGTGTGTATATAGATCGGTTGGTTCTCGACCCCTCTTTTTGTACTTTTATATATTTAAAAATTAACTAAATTACTAAATTACCACGCTTACTTATCCGCATTGGCTATGTTAAACGTTAAACGAGGAGGCAGGAATAACCAAGCAAGATTCGGTGTCGTCAACATGCAATACATTTACATATTTACATATACCATGTGCACATATTATACTATATTCTAAAGCCACGTTTGTAGCGAAGACGACTAATGTACACAGCAGTTAGAGGAGATCGCTTTTAACCAAAACACATGAGAATATATGATATATGATGTCTATTATCCGTGCGCATACCGTAGGCAAACTAGGAATGGTAGCAAAATATCGACTATATCGATGCTGTAACGATTTCTGCCGATATATAAAATGAGAGAGACTCAACTCAATCGCTCCTAACAGTCATTTTTGTTATTTAAACATTATTTAATCGAGTACGACGACATAACCAACAAATTACAAATGATATCTCTGATAATTAAAAGCATAATCTTAATCGTTTACCGGCGCGGAGAGCGGCGTATAAGCCATACTTGTACAGTTGAGGCAATTGCTAACCTATAATAGGCACTCATCTCCTTCATCTCTAGACATTATTTGCGATTTATCACTTACGATTTACACGATTACGCAGCGATTCCAGCTTTAACAAACAACCAGCTATTTTGTTGTTTTCCTCTAAGTTTACGTTTACTATTATTATTATTATTATGATTATTATTTTGTTTTTATTTTAGATTTAGGAGAGTAAGTTTAGCAAAAGCGAAAGTAAGAAAGAGCGAAAATAGAGTGGCTGCCAGTTAAAGGACTTTTTCATTTTCATACGCGAATTTTTAAATTATAAATCTATATTATTATACGAGTACGTAAAGCATAAAACTTAAATAATTTATAATAGTAATTCAAGACAATTGCTAAACAACCAACAACTAGTACTAAAGACGAAGAAGAGAACAAACTAGAAATTATACCGAAACGGAAATGAAAATAAAAACACATTCAAATAAATCCATACAACTTAAGTGTACTTATTTTGATTAAGAAGGGAATTTTGGGGATTTTTGGTAGGTAAAATGGAATTTGGCATTATAGGTAAGTATTTTAGCAAAACTGAGTATGCCCAGGTGCATTTAGCAACATTTTAGACAGAAATTAACAATATGGTCACATCTGGTTTGAGTCTGTGCTTACTCCAAGATCAATGGTTCGAAACTTGGACTTTTTATAACAGTTTATACCAGTTTTCAGTTGCTTGCTGCTGATTTCTGTTCGCCTGGTACCCCAATTTGGGAAACGGGCAATTTGCATGGAAATGTTCGGAAATTTGGATGGGCTGCTGTAGGGATGTTGTTGTAAAATGGTTGTTGTTGCCATAAGCTGTTGTTGTCGGCAACAAATAGGTATAAATGCGTAATTATTATTATTATTATTATTTTTGCCCAAAAGTTTTTATAACAGTTTATACCAGTTTTCAGTTGCTTGCTGCTGGTTTCTGTTCGCCTGTTACCCCAGTTTGGGCAACGGCCAAATTGGATGGAAATTTTTGCTCACTTGCATGAGTGATGCTCATCTGCATCAGTGATGCTCACTTCCATCAGTGATGCTCACTTCCATCAGTGATGCTCACTTCCATCAGTGATGCTCACTTCCATCAGTGATGCTCACTTCCATCAGTGATGCTCACTTCCATCAGTGATGCTCACTTTCATCAGTGATGCTCAATTCCATCAGTGATGCTCACTTCCATCAGTGATGCTCACTTCCATCAGTGATGCTCACTTCCATCAGTGATGCTCACTTCCATCAGTGATGCTCACTTCCATCAGTGATGCTCACTTCCATCAGTGATGCTCACTTCCATCAGTGATGCTCACTTCCATCAGTGATGCTCACTTCCATCAGTGATGCTCACTTCCATCAGTGATGCTCACTTCCATCAGTGATGCTCACTTCCATCAGTGATGCTCACTTCCATCAGTGATGCTCACTTCCATCAGTGATGCTCACTTCCATCAGTGATGCTCAATTCCATCAGTGATGCTCACTTCCATCAGTGATGCTCACTTCCATCAGTGATGCTCACTTCCATCAGTGATGCTCACTTCCATCAGTGATGCTCACTTCCATCAGTGATGCTCACTTCCATCAGTGATGCTCACTTCCATCAGTGATGCTCACTTCCATCAGTGATGCTCACTTCCATCAGTGATGCTCACTTCTATCAGTGATGCTCAATTCCATCAGTGATGCTCACTTCCATCAGTGGTGCTCACTTCCATCAGTGGTGCTCACTTCCATCAGTGATGCTCATCACTGGCAGCTAGTGAGATGCAATTTTCTACCAATAATGCAAAAAAATAGCTAGATGAGCATCACTGATGCACATGCGCATCACTGCCATTAAGCCCGATTTTATTGCCCTCCAATATTGAAATATAGCCAGATGAGCATCACTGATGCAGATGAGCATCACTCATGCAAGTGAGCAAAAATTTCCATCCAATTTGGCCGTTGCCCAAACTGGGGTAACAGGCGAACAGAAACCAGCAGCAAGCAACTGAAAACTGGTATAAACTGTTATAAAAACTTTTGGGCAAAAATAATAATAATAATAATAATTATGCATTTATACCTATTTGTTGCCGACAACAACAGCTTATGGCAACAACAACCATTTTACAACAACATCCCTACAGCAGCCCATCCAAATTTCCGAACATTTCCATGCAAATTGCCCGTTTCCAAATTGGGGTACCAGGCGAACAGAAATCAGCAGCAAGCAACTGAAAACTGGTATAAACTGTTATAAAAAGTCCAAGTTTCGAACCATTGATCTTGGAGTAAGCACAGACTCAAACCAGATGTGACCATATTGTTAATTTCGGTCTAAAATGTTGCTAAATGCACCTGGGCACACTGAAACTAGACGTTACATTTAAATTCGAGTTTGGCCGTTAATTTTCAAAAATATGTTTAAAAAATCTTTAAAAAAACTAAAAATATCTAACAAATCTAAAAAAATCTTTAAAAAATGTTAACTGCCAGATATGTTCATCTAGCTATTTTGCATTATTGGGACAAAATGGCATCTTACTAACTGACAGTTATGGGCATCTAGCTATTTTGCATTATTGGGACAAAATGGCATCTTACTAACTGCCAGTGATGCCCAGTTAGCTATCTAGCTAGAAAAATATCATTTCTAAGGGTATACTTTACCTTTCTTTCCTTTTTGCATTATTCAACCCCCCCAAAAAAAAAACCAACAAACGACAAGCTTAGCGTTCTTATTTGTTTTTATTGAAAGTTCGTAGTTTAAATATAACTTTAAGGCTTCGATAATGTTTGACACGTTAAGGCTAAAAATGGAAAAATTCTTGCTTCTTATCAATGTAGACATGTGGCGAGTCATGGATTCGATTCGGTTCGATGGATATGGGTAGGGGGACTGGGCTTAATGATGGGCTTTACACGGGGCTTACAGCCAAGACACTATCTGTACAGTGTTGTCTATGGTGTGTCTCGAGCTATCGCTGCAATGCCCGATATCGCACGTACAAGTATGTTTATGTATATATCTTAGCACACGAACTGCCAGCGATTTTAGCAAATGAAAACAAGAAGCAAATTCATTAGGTACAAAAGCATACATATATATATATATATCCGTAACTGTATCTGTATCCGTATCTGTATTATGTTTAGTTTAGTACGTGTTTATTATAGTTTCATAATATATAGTTTTATAATCTTATTAAGGCCACACAATTAATAACTGACAAAAGTCTTAATCGCAACACAAAGTGACAAAAACGGGACAGGGACAGACGGGTACAGGGACGAGAAGAGGAGGAGGACAAGCACATAAAACAAATAACATGGAACATAGGGGATTGAGAGAACTGCATCAGCAGCCCCTTTGATTTAGTTAGTTAGATGGTAGAGCGTGTGTAGTGTGTGGTCGCTTAGTACAAGTAAAAAGAGAGATAGTTCTATGGGGGCAACGGTTGTAAATACAAATATCCACATCCGTATCCGTATCCGTAAACGTTAGAGTAGAGTTACCATGTAAAAGAATATATCAACGCCCGCGCGGAGCCTTCGGCGTGTACATATTTGAGCTATGTACACGGAGAGAGAGTGCTGCTCCTCTCCGGCGTCGTGTTTTATGTATAATATATATATATTAACGCTATTGTTCGTAAAATGGACTAATTTCGGTTCGGCTCCGTCCTCTGCCCATTCCCTTTGTTCGCTGGCTCAGTGCCTGTGCCGGCTCATTGGCGGTGGCGGATTCTCCCGGCCTGTTGAGTCTCATAAGAATGGATTGTTGGTGTTCATGGCGCCGCTGCTGGCCTGTGGATGAAATACAAAAAGAAGAAGGTAAGTAAGGGATTTAAACATCAATCTGGCAATAACCAGATCCGGCTGGAGGTAATCCACTGACTAATCTGGCTTGATTTAATATTCATTAAAGAAAATTACAGCTCCTACCCTGGATTGGTCAGTGAATCAGAAGATAGGGTATCTAAATATCGATGGCATACTCACTGCAAAGGGATTGTTGACCATCACCGGAGCGGGCTGCATGCTGCCAAAGCCACAGCCATTGGGCAGGCCCTGGGAGAGGGCAAAGCCATTGTTGTTGTTGAAGTTGAAGAAGTTGGCCTGATGCTGATGGAGCTGCTGCTGCTGCTGAAGGAGATGCCCCATTTGCTGCTGGGGACTGCTGCCGTAGGCATTTGGTATGAGCGTCAACTGGCCATAGAGATTCTGCTGCTGCTGCTGTTGGTGCTGGAATGGATTCACCACATGGCTGCTAAGCTGCTGCTGCTGCTGTTGCTGGCTCTTGAAGGGATTTGGATTGTTGTTCAGGGCTGAAAAGGCACAAAATTAGTTGACAATTCCTTAGAAGAGAACTCTAGAAGGACTCACCACTACCAAAAGCATCCGCATGGCCATTGGTGGGCGTGGGCACCTCCGAGGCACTGGCCTCGCTGGCCTTCAGTTCACGCAGCTGCTCGTCGAGATCCTTGAGAGCAGCATAACGATCCTCGCTGGGTGCCATGGCAGCTGTGCTCTTTGGAGGACTTGTCGTCGCATGGCTGCCACCATTCTGCAAGGGAGCACCTGCAAGGATTAGGAAGATGGAGTTAGATCGGAGCTGGCAAAGGTTTGCTTATATTTCGAGGCTTAGAACAAAACATAAACCGAAACGAAGCATCAATAAAAACACAGAAAAACGAGGCAAAAATGCAAACTGAACTCAAGAACTCAACGCAAACTCAAGGCAAACCAAAGGACGAGGCCGAGGACTTACTCCACGTAAAGAAATCATGGAAATTGGCATTTAAAATATTCGATTCTTGATCATCATCCGCCGCCGCTTGATATTGATCTTCGTGGGAGCTGCTCGAAATGGAGCTGAACAACAGGTACGAGAAGGAGGCAGGTGGCTCCTCTGGAGGATTCTGATGCTGCTGCTGCTGGTTCACCAAGTATGGCAGGAAGGGATTCGAGGGCGAATAAGGCATTGGCGGAGGCGGCGCTTCTGCTATGCTGGAGGAGCAGGAGCGTGGGCTACTAAAGGTGGAGTAACTCATTGCCCGCTGCGACTCTTGCTCCTGCTCTCCCTCTCGCTCTCGCTCTCGTGCTCGCTCTTCCTCTATCCGCATTTCCTCTTGCCAAAAATTCCAGGCCAGCTCTGGTTCTTCACGGACGGTTGGCAGGGGAACTGGAACTACAGGTGGAGGAGGTGCTGGCGGCGACGGCTCATCGCAATCGTCAAAGGGATCGTGGAAGCCGCGCCTGCTCCAGTCGCTGACCCAATCGTGGAAGGTTGTTGCCGCTGGGAGCAGCCATAGAGAGAGAGGTTAGAGAGAGTGTGGCTACGTTGTGGAGAAGTCACGTGGTTTGTTGTGGTGTTTAAACTGGCAGAAGAGCTGTGGAAGCTACAGAAAGCCAAAAGCCAAGGACTCAAGCAGCGGGTGCGGCAGCAAAGGGAGTGTAGGATAATGCTCAGTATGGCTTAAAATATATTTTCGGGAAATTTTGGGAATCAAAAATCGATCAAAACTCAGCCAAAAATGCATCAAATTTACTTTGGAAAGTTTTTTTATGCTAGTTTTTCCTAGCTTTTCAAATCTGCTTACTCAATTTAACATCAAAAATTTTGGCCATTTTTGAGATTTTTAATGATGGCCTTATTAAATTTCGAAAAAATGGCCAAAAAACTAGTTTTCTCCGGAGATGGCCAGAAAGATTCGCCTATCAATGCTGATCAAGAATATATATGGTTTATGGGGTCGGAAATGCCAGCTTCACAAAATAAAATCATAAATCCCTTCAAGAAGACCGGAAATTTTGCAATTTTTTAATATAATATTTTCCATATTTTTTAATATAATTTTAAATTAAATTAAACTCGAAAAGCTTTTTAATGCTGGTTTTTTGTAGAGTAATTAATCTGTATACTAAATTTCTTTTTTTAAGTTAGAATCAAAATGAATAAATTAAAATCTGTTTTAAATTTATAATGTAATTTCAAGTAAAGAAATTACACCTAAAAATGTTCAATTAATGATTATGGAAAAGTGCTTTTAAACAAAGAGAGATTCCAAGGAACACAAACTAAGTACTTTTAAAGGTCAGCTCTTAAATGGAGGATAGTGTCAAAGGATCAAAGGATCCAACTGAGAGCCACACTTACCCACTGCATTGAAGATGGGCGCATGATCAAAGTCCGCAAAGTTCTCCGTGCCCTGATGTCCATTGCCATTGAGGAGGAGCTGTTGTTGCTGCTGCAACTGCTGCTGCTGCTGGAGGTGAGCTGCTCGGAGGGGCTGCACCTTGGCATAGCCATTGCTAGAGCCCACCGAGGACACCGAGGACACGGCCGGCGATCCCGCCGAGCGTGCCGATGTGGCATCAAATATGGTGGCCGAGCCAAAGTCCGCCACAAAGTCCGAGTCGGCGCCAAAGCCATTGCTGGCACAGCTGCTGGTGTCGGACAGGGCGCCCGTGGATGTGGATCCAGCGCTGTTCAGGCTGCTCAGTCCTCCGCCACCGCTTCCATTGAGGCCAAAGGCATCGTGATTGTTGTTGCTGCTGCTGTGATTGTGATGATGCTGCGGCCTGCTGATCGAGGAGGAGGAGCTCGACGAGATGGAGTTGGCCTTCTGGAGGCCATTGGCTGCTGTGCGCTGGGCGGCCGGCGGTGTCAAATGGATGCTGGCATAGCCATTGTGCTGCTGGTTATGGTGACCATTCTGTGTTGACTTCAGGTTGACGGCATTGGCCAGCGACTTGAGCGGACTGGCCGGCTCCAGATAGTAGCGCTTCCTCTCATACTTATCGACCATCAGCTCGCGCTGCTCCTGCTGGTGGGCAGCTCTCTTGGGATCCCACAGGCCCAGCCAGGTCTTGGCGCACAGCTCGTTGCCGTGCGTGCGCAGGAAGTCGATCTCGTCCTGTGTGAATGTGGCCATCGATATGGATTTCACTCGATGTGGTGGCGTCAGGCCGCGTCTGCAAAAAAACAAGAAAATTTCAATGAAGTTTCCAACTTAATTTGGGGCAAAGTAATACGAGTAATTCTGAGGAAATTGCTCAAGATTTTCCCCCATTCCCCGCCTATTTTAAGCTGCTGGTCGGTCAGGTGGTGGTGGCTTCTGTTTGACCCACTTGCTGCTACCCGAATGACCCGTCAAATGGGCGTTCAATTTCAGTTAATTGCGCAAATTAATTGCACTGGCCTTGGGGGCGCCCCCACCGATGGCAATTGGAGCACTTGGAGTGGCCAGAATGGCGTGGAAAATGAAACCCATAAACACATACACACTCTCGCACCTCGAGTTTTTCCAGCAAATTCGAATCGCAGCGATGGCTAATTTCGGCTTTTCACGAATTTCCCGATACGAAACGAGTCCACGACGAGCAGCAAAGGCAACAACTTGCTAGCAACAACAGCTCCAACTTGGCCACAACATGGCAACAGCCCCACCAACGATGGCCAAATACGCCCGGCTAGAGGAAGAAGAAGCTGGGGCCAGAAACTGGACGTTTCACATGAACGCTCCACTGGCTTCAGTTGGTCGCTGGCTTGGCTTTGCCAGTTGCTGGCTTGTCGCTTGTTGGTAGCTGGTTAACTGGTTGCCGGTTGCTGGAAAACAAGCTATGGTAGAACCTCACAGAGAGTGGGTCTAACGAGGAGGAGGTACCCTGCAGTGCCACAAGCTAAATAAATGAATAATCAATCCTTCTCTCTACATTCTAATTTGTGTAATATTTCCATTATTTCATTATTAAAATTATCAATGAAAATATGAAAAATATTATTTCAAAGCCTCATTATAGCCTCATATACACCACCATTCTTTCGCAAAGGGTATCGGAGCAACCGTCTAATGTGGCACATGGAGAAGCTGCTGATTGCTGGCTAATGGCATTTTCTCTGAGCTAAAAGCCGAGCGGATGAGGTCCTTTGTCTTTGCCATCCTGTCCATCCCCGTTCTTTACCCATTCCCAATTCAATTGTGGCTTCATTTCGAAGCTGTGAAACGGATTCCAAAGGGAAAAGCAGACGAGCTGAGCCGGAGGAGCGGAAGTCTTTGAGTGGCGTACCAGCGAAAAACAATCAACTCTCACCCGGCGTTAAGTAGATCGAAGTAAAACAGCTATAGGCAGCTCCACCTCCTCCTGACCCGTGACCACCGGAGCGGACCGGAGAGCAGCTGAGGAGGAGGACGACTTCCGCCGGCGGCTAAATGATCTGTGAAGCTGCTGCTGCTGCGAACGGAAACCAGATGCCGCAGCAACAGGAGGTTGCTCGACCTTACACACACCACGGCTACACAGTCAGAAATGAGTTCAACCTGAACAGCACCCATAATCTAATCGAAGAGCACTTGAAAAAACACTCGAAATTACAATTAATCGCAATCTATTGTGTTGTTTTGATGAGTCTACACTCGAAATGAGAGTTAACTAAGCTGTAAAAAATATGGAAAATGTATAGTTAATTCCGAGATTAGGCATCTCATTTCCTATTTTTTTTTTTTATTAAAAGACACAAAACCAGTGAACCAAAGGTGGCATTTAAATGCAGAGATTTGCTTTCTTAATTTATGGCTGCTGCTCCCAATCCCTCCTCCCCGAATCCTATTAAAATATCAAGCTGGCTCTGGCCGGATTAAGCCAGTCGCTGATGGTACGTGATGTGTTTTTCCCACTCACTCACTCACTCAGTGGCCCAAGTGGATGCAGTTGTCCGAGTGGCCAGAGAGAACGCACAGGCTGTTCGTTAGGGGATTTCGGGGTGTGTGTGTGTGTGGGAGGCGAGGGTGTGGATGCAGCAGCGGCAGCTGTAAGTGGCAACAAGAAACAACAGCCAAGAGACCGAGGCAGTGGCAGTGGCTGTGGCGCAGCTATTTTTGAAATCCAGCCGCAGAGGCGGAGAAAGTGAAAGTTGTTGCCGGTGGCAGGCAGAGGGAGAGAGAGATGATGATGGTGGTGGCATTAGGAGGCCCCGACCACGCCCACCGCTTATGGCTTGCATTTGGAAACAAAGCTACCGACTGGTAGGGCATATGGGCGGAGGCCGAGGTAATTGACAATCACAGCCATCGTAATGACTGCAAATTTCCATGCAGCTGCTGCCTTTGTTAATGCGATAAAAAACCCAATAAACGAAGGGGAAGTGGGTAGGTAGCAGGTGCTATCCCCAGTTGTATTTTTTTGTGTTAAATTCTGGGAAATAAATCACTTAGAAACAAATTACTTTTACACTGAATAAGTAAAGGTAAAGTTGATTTTGTTGAATTACTAAAAAATTGCCAATGAATGCTCTGAAAATATTTTTCGATAGGCGATATTTCGGGGGCGATCTTTTTGGACTTTTTCTTTTAATATATATTTTATAAGTTTTTTATTTAATATTCAAATAAAAAATAATAATTCAAAGCTTTTATACAAATTCAAAACTATTCAAATCACAGTTTTACCTTAAATTCAAAACCTTTTTATTGCATATTTCTCTATTATTTTGTTTATATGTATATATCACCTTAACACCTTCCTCAGCTCATCTCAATCTCTCGTTTGGCTTCTAATTCTTGAGACCTGATTCCATTTCGCAAATTATTTAAACAGGATGCAAGGCATTGTTTATCTGGGTCTCAGTTGTCCAAGTCTACATGTTTCTCAGTGCAAACTGAAGCTCCCTTCTGTTCAATATTAGCAAAGCAATGCTAATTGAGAGGCGAACACTCGTCGTACACACTGTACATACACCGTACACACCCCACACACACACACACACCCATTGTACACTCATCAGTGGAATACACTCTGGGAGCAATGAGAGCCGGAGAATGCCTTTGCTAATTGGAAGTCAACAAAAGCAGCAGCGCTGAAAACTGGATTCGGATTCGGAATCGGAAAAACTGTGTCACACCTGGGGTGAGGTCATGGCCTGGGTGCCAAAGGGCAAAGGGAAGTCTCTGTGATCTGAGATTTTTGCAAGCATAATCTTATATGTATGGAGTAACTTCCCCTTTATGTTCTGTTTAACTTCTTATCTATTTTCCTGGTATTTTAATGCTGACTTAGCTTGAACTTGGGGTAATCAAAATTATTTTTTTAATAGAAACGAGTGACGCAATTTAAAAATTCGTTTGCTTTAATTATTAAAATAAAAACCAGAATTTGTATACAAGTTACTTGTTTTAAATTCGAATTTGGGGTAGAACAAATACGGGTATATCGATGGTGTATCGATGTTTAAGGCGAAAGTCGATACATAAATCTATCTGTGCAATAAATCAATAATGTTTATCGATTTATAAGATCAAGTTAATTAAAATTTGAATAGATAAATATAATAATAATAATAGATATAAAATTTAATATTTTAAATTTTATTGAGGTATACCTAAAAGTTCGATTAATCAAAATATATAATGTTTTCGATATCATATTGATATCGATATATCACAGATACTTTTCTTTTGAATTCTTAATTTCCATTTAATCTTAAATTTGTAATTTAAAAGTCTTGAAATATATATAAGTTAAATGTAAATATCTCACACTCCTTGCAAAAAATGTTGCCATAATTTCGCACCTTTAAAAATCATAAATTGCTAATATTACAAGCACACATTCCCCCTGAAAAACCCCCCACATTTTTCATAACCAACTTGGACTGTAACTAGCTTTGTTTCAGGGAGGCATTTGGTCTAATTTTGCCATATTTGATGGGCTATTTTATGACAGAAGGTTACAACAGGTGTGCCAAGTCACTTATGCTAAGCTGTGTGACACCCTGGTGACACACATACCCCCTGAAACCCTTCGTTCACTCAGTACCAGTCTCAGCCTCAGTCTCCGGCGGATGGATGGGTCTCTCGTCATAGGAGATCTCGGTCTCGGATCTCGGCGGTTTCGGTTTCGAGCTCCGTGCATGGCACAAGTGGATACAACGAAAATTAAAACAAACACAAACGGAGGCAGAGACAGAGACAGAGACTGTAATGCAGATAAACAAAAAGCTTAGCTTACAATCACACACACACACACAGACACACACTCTAATGTTTGCTACAAAAGTGCAAAACTTGTTTTTTGCGCATTTTGCGCACTCAGCGTGAATAAAAAAAATATATATATAAAAAACGGAAAATGAAAAATCAACTCACTGAGAGACCGCTTCGCTTCGCTCAAAACAAAAACAAAAGTAAAACTCGTCGCTTTAACCAAAAAGCAACAGCAATATGCATAGATAGACTCACACACAAAGAAGCCAACAAATAATGAGTACTTTGAGTACAAAACCCAGAGTTAAATCGGAATTGGAATCGAAATGAAATCGGACCTACCACATAACGTTTAGCTTTGAGGGAACCCTCTCGTTGGGGCTTTGCCATTGTGCAAAAAATAAACGAAACAAAAATAAGCAAAAAGAGCGAAAATAGCAAAGATACATAGCTAAAGGCAAAAGTAAATACAAAACTCGGCAGAAATTATGACAATAAATAATAACTTAAATATGCGGCAAGCGCCTCCACACATTGAACTTTTGATTTCGCACGAAAAAGACAAGAAAAATGGGTCTAGACCAGGCTGATACCCTCACAAGTTGGGAGCAAATAAAGAAAAAATAATATGTAAAATTGTTTTGTAACAAAAAAAATATATAAATATATTTTAAACTAAATAAAATTGTTATATATATTTTTAAGCACTTTTTGGCAAAATTTCTCCTAACATTTTAGTTAATTTTTATCTCTGTGCAGAAAATAATTCTAAAAGTCTGCCTAAACATATGGACAACGCATTTTCCTATCACCAAATCCCTGATTATTTTGGTTTTTATTGACAACAGCATTGATTAAGACCATTAAACACATAATAATTAGTACTATATATCAACCATAAATATATTTACTTCATAATCATGTTTTCCAACACATTTAAGCACTTGTAGTTCAAGTTCCATTATTGTTTATTGAAGTCTTTCAATAAATCTC